TGTATAGACAGGTGTGTGGCTTTCCTAATCACGTCCAATCAGTATAATCAAACACCGCTGGACTCAAATGAAGGTGTAGAACCATCTCAGGGATGATCAGAAAAAATGGGCAGCACCTAAGTTAAATATATGAGTGTCACAGCGAAGGGTCTGAATACTTATGACCATGTGATATTTCAGTTTTTCTTTTTTAATAAATCTGCAAAAATGTCAAAAATTCTGTGTTTTTCTGTCAATATGGGGTGCTGTGTGTACATTAATGAGGAAAAAAATGAACTTAAATGATTTTAGCATATGGCTGCAATATAACAAAGAGTGAAAAATTTAAGGGGGTCTGAATACTTTCCGTATCCACTGTAGTTTGTTAGCATTCGACACCTACATTTCCCTAAAAGCTTAACTACTGCGGCTACAAGCAAGACCCCATGGGAGCTGTAGTTGTTGTAAATTTTAAAAACTCGTTGAGGCTTACTGTTCAACAAATAGTATATGTCCATCCATCTTTGATTATAACACAAACCCCTTGTATCATCTTTCAGCATTTCGGGGGCACAAATGAAAGAAACTCAAAATTAGGTTCTGCCTCCTGTGTGATGTGTTGTAGGACTTTTCAAATGAATAGAAAGGCAGTCATTGTGCATTTCCTGGTACAATATCCATACTGAATATCCGGTTTTCTAATGACAAAAATGGGATTGAGAGCCAGTGACACCAGAGGGTATAATAGTAATAATAAAACAAAACAATACATAAATTAACCAGGTAAAAGTTTTGAAATGTTTAATGAAAACATTAGTACATCTTTTCTAAATATAAATAATAGGCTATCCGATTTTTCCAGAGTACTTCTAAAGACAAAGACAAATTCAAGACTGCCACCCACAAACATAAACGTCCTCCCAGACAGCAGATAGAAATGGAATGATATATAATTCTTTCTCCAATTATAATCATATTAAATTACTGCCTTAACTGCTTATTATAGCGTAGTGTAATGAGCCAGTTTCACACAGTAAAATTCTGTCTGCACTCACACGTTTTCAGGGTCAAGAATTTCAAACTGCTTTTTCACTAGGACCTACTATATTGCATCATTCGTGGTCTGCTGCTGTATCCCCAGGACAGTTAGAACATAAGTCGTCTTCATCTGTAAAAAACAAACATATATATATAAATATCAACAAAGGCAATAGAAACTAGAATAAAACTGCAGCCATGCTGTCATCACGCTTACCATTATAGGTGGTCCCACACCATATGCAATAAAAATGGATGCCTCTCAAATAGGATGTCAAAATTTGAAGTTTGTCAAAGGACTGTAACAGAGAGACACACACCGAATACATTTTAATGTTACTCTGGATTAATCACCACTGAATCCTACAAGATGTATCTACTGCACTATTCACCAGTACATTAAGTGTGCACTAGATCATCTATTACCATGTTGGCAACAAGTCTTTGCACCAAAATGATTACTTATTACTATACATTTATCCATCCACCCATTATCTACACCACTTATTCTGAAGAGGGTCACAAGGGCTGGAGCCAATCCCAACTGGCACTGGGTGAGAGGCAGGTTACACGCTGGACAGACTGCCAGTCTATCACAGGGCTGATGTATAGACAGACAACCACACACACCCACACTCACTCCTATGAGCAATTTAGAGTCACCAATCAACCTAAGCTGCATGTCTTTGGACTGTGGGAGGACATTGGAGTGCCTGGAGAGAACCCACGCAGGCACAGGGAAAACATGCAAACTCCACACAGAAAGGCACCATCTTGCTATACATTTATTTGACAACAAAATGATTTTGGTTCAAATAAAAGCAGTACATATTGTTCAACTAAATAAACAAGCTAAATTAAATACTAACAGTCAGTTCCACTGTCTCCTCGAGTTCCTCCTCTTCTTTAAGATCATCTTCCTCATCATCAGCAGCTGCTTGAGGCCAGTACCAGTCTTCTCTGGGGACAGTTATGCCCTGAAATGAAACGACTTCTAAGACTAAGTCTTCACACAAAGAAAACCCCAAGTGTTGTTTATATACTGCCACAAAGTGAATTGTTTATATATGGCATGTGGAAGTATTTTTCTCTAATGATGCAGTATAATCTTTCCAGGTGTGTTTTTATTTATTCTCACTGCAGAGAAATCTGGAAAAAATAGATTTGTAATGTCCCAATGAGTCAGTGTTATAGTCATAATTCTTACAACCTTCTGACTGTCAAGCTGCTCACAGGCTCGCTGACTCCTTGTGAGTTCTCCTTCGATCTTTCGCTCCTCTTTCTCTGTCCTTACTCTTGATCTGGAATGAGAAGGGACAGGATTACATACACAGACTATGAAATATTTGTATTAGAGAGGGAGCAATGTGTAGAGGCACAACTGCAAATGCCACCTAAAATCTTCCAGGGATTTGGTCTCATTCTGTTGTTTGGCTCGTATTTTCTGTCGATAATGTTCAAGCTCCTCCTCAGCTTTTCTTTTCTTCACCTCTTCCATTCCAATGCCACCTCTGTCTGACTCAGCATACATAGAAAGTACATGGTAAGACATCAGCTGGATTGCACATGTTGTTACCAAATACACTTTTAAAAAATACTATTTACCTATTTTGATATTTAGAGGAATTGGATCAACTCTTCCTGCACCTGAAGATGTAACACAGAGAAACATTAATACACCCAACAAATTAAAAGTACGTGAAAAACAAGAATTCTGTAAAGAAGAAACTTGCCCTCCTTCCCGAGGCCTTGTCCAGCTTTGTAACCCATTTTCTGTAGAAGTGCAAATCCCTTGTTTTCGTTGCTAATGGAGCTCTGTAAAGCTGATTCTCGACTTTCCTTCTCCTGCTCCTTGTAGGTCTTCTGACGGTTCTTGATATTCTTCTCCTTTTGCTCTGCCTCCCTCTTCATTGATTCTTTTACTCGCCTCACCATGCTGACACCTGGTTTCACATCTTGGCTGACAGACAGAAGAACATTGAAAGAGTCACCATAGTGATAGTTACCCTAAAAAGAAAGGGCTGCAAATTCATACTTTAGCGTATGTTATTACAGCGGACACTTTAAATACCCCTGAATAACCTTAGTTTCATAAGGCTGGCACAGGACAATAAGCTACATCGAGATTCGGAGAATAACAATTTCGATATCATCAGGTTTTGATTGAAAAATCAGACACAAAACGCTTACATTTTACTGAGAAATGCATCAGACATATAGTCTTCCTCCTCATCAGACATAATGCCGCGCAAAAGAATAAAAAGTTTGTATATAAAAAGAGGGAACAGCTACAGAATCTAAAATAACTTTATAGCCGATTGAGTGTTCGCATTTGCGTCTGTAATGTTTGTGTCCTCCAAATATACATTCCGTGTAGCTACATGGAACCTAATATTTTGAAGTTTCGGCATACAGTCAGACACGTTTGTGAAATAATTCGTATGAAGCTGTTTACTTTAATTGCACATACAGAGCTGAAAAATATATTCACATATTGTGAGACAATTATGCTGATTCTTTTAAGGCTGTAGGTTATGCATATTATTCCCTTGGTTTCACATCGGCCACGTTTTATTGCGACACCGCCGATACTCGTCGACATCTATGGTCGTCATTCATCCTGGGTTATCGGAACACAGGTAGAATGAACAGTTTAGTTACATATGTTCCATATTTCAGGGTGTGTTTTGCAGAGGTGTCTGATAACAAATAAAGGTTTTAATATGGCAAATCAGATAATTAACACTCATTTTGGATGAGAATGTAGCCGGACTAAAGCTTGTTCCTCGGCAGAGCTAACATTAGCTAGCTTAGGTTGCTAACCAGCTCCCCTACCAACAGCTGGAGGCAGACAGCTGTCAACACGGACACCGTAACAGTAAAGTGAAAGAGCATCTAAAATTACTCCGTTTTAGTTTGCTACAGTTTATACGACAAATATATTTAGAAACGTCCAAACCAGTAATAGCTACGATACCTTTATAATCGTTTATATCCAAGACACAAACCTAATGAAGTCATTGCAAGGATGGTAGGCTATATATTCACTGATTTTCGGTAACTCAGATATTATGTTAATGCTTTCCAGGTGATAATCTAATTGGATGAAAGCGCCAGTAGCAGAGAAGAGACATCTACTGACAAGGCACTCCCCCTAATTTAACATCAGTCAGGTGAGGGTGCAAAGCACTGTGATAAACGGCCCTCGTTATGGAGTTGGCTCACAGTCTGTTGCTAAATGAAGATGCCTTGGCCCAAATCACTGAAGCAAAGAGGCCCGTCTTCATCTTCGAATGGCTTCGCTTCTTGGATAAAATTCTTGTGGCAGCAAATAAGGTTACTGTTCAGATTTTGGCATTGTTTTTCTGAGTGTTTCATTAGAAGCGGTTTGTGACTTTATTTTGTGTTTGAATGGCAGGTGGATGTGAAGGAGAAGCAGAAGAAGCTGGTGGAACAGCTGATAGGACTGATCAGCAGTGCCCCTGGTCCACCAACAAGGAAACTACTGGCCAAAAACATTGCTACCCTCTACAGCATTGGTGACACCTTCACTGTTTTCCAGACTTTGGATAAATGCAATGACATCATCAAAAGCAGGGATGACACACCTGCATACTTGCCAACAAAACTGTAAGGTCCCATTTAATTACAGCAGCCTGTATTTTCTTTGGCTTTTTTTAAAAATGCACTCACTGTGTCTGTGCATAGTTTGCATGAGATTATACTCATTAGCATCAGGTTATACATTTTTCAGAACTATTTTCAGAGTTTTGGGCATATACTGTAGGCCCACCATAAATGGCATTAGCACCTAAGTGAAATGTTAATCTGTAGAATGACTTTTCATGTTTAAAAGGAGAGTTTAAATGTACTTCAGCAGATATTATACTGTATTTCTTGCTGGCTTTAATTGACTCTTAACAGTGGATGAAGTCTCATCAGTGGTGTCATGTAGGGTTGTATCATGTACATACTTGAAAAAACTTAGAAAAAAATCAACTGGACTAGATTTCTAGGTCGAAGACGTTTCACCTCTCATCCAAGAGGCTTCATCAGTTCTGACTGACTGGCTTCGCTTCTTGTGTTAAGTCTGACTCATGCTGCAGATGACTGAATCTGAGTTCTTATCTGTTTATTACCTTATATGTTTTAAAATCAAATCATTTAAAAAAAGATCTGTAATGTATAATTTCATTTAATGCATTCAGTAACTTTTCTTGTAGTGCTGCAGTGGCATGTGTTGGAGCTTTTTACGAGAAGATGGGCAGGATGCTGGGAAGCTCCTTTCCTGACACCATTAATAATCTGTTGAAGGCATTGAAGAGTGCAGAGGTATGACTTTTAAGAGAATAAAATTAGTGAATGGAAAACACAGTTTTCCATTGTTTTATAGAAGGGATGCTCAAGGCCGGTAATCTGTTGAAGGCATTGAAGAGTGCAGAGGTATGACTTTTAAGAGAATAAAATTAGTGAATGGAAAACACAGTTTTCCATTGTTTTATAGCAGGAGTGCTCAAGGTCGGATTGTATACAGCATTGGAATATAGGAACAGCACTGTATAATTAAAGAGATTTGTTTTTCAGAAATTACTATTCTAATCCTATTTTTCCCCACCTTTACTTTGTTGATCTAGTCCCAAGGCAGAGGAGAGATCCTCCTCAGCCTGCAGAAGGTGCTTAGTGGACTGGGTGGAGCTGCAGCTTCATGTCACAGAGATATCTACAAGAATGCACGCTCCCTGCTCACAGACAGATCCATGGCCGTGCGCTGTGCAGTAGCAAAGGTTGGTCTCAAACATCTAATGGAGCTTTAAAATATTTACCAAAAGTTTCTTAGATTTAGTAGGCATGGTTAAACAAGTCATTATGTTTTATTCTGTTGCATGTTTATGCAGGTTTCTTATTCTAATGTAGGATTTTTACAAAGCCTGGAACTAGCACTACACAGTGTAATGTTCAGACCTTTTCTCCCAAAAACTAACTTTGCTCTAAAACATAGCATCTTTGATGGTCTTAATGCTTTTTAAGCCTTCTATGGGGATCCTCTTTCTGCTCTTGTTGTATATTAGAGAAAAATTACCACTGACTTATATTTTTGTGCTTGGTCATTGATGTTGCTCAAACTCAGATGTGTGTTGTGTACATTGTGAAAGATTACTTCCTAATTTAGAAAGAATGACACCAATTGTATTATATATGGTGCAAGTTGTGTGGCCTATATATTTTAATGATACATGCTATATGAACTTAGCTCCTGTATAATTTGTATGAGTGATTGGTATATGTATGTTATATGAAAAAACACCAGACCTGTTTCCTGCACACATGTAATGTAGAGGTTACTCAGAGGAGTCCATCTTTCATTCTTTTTTTCTGATCAGTGCCTATTGGAGCTGCAGAATGAGGCAGTATTCATGTGGACTACAGAACTGGAGAACATGGCCACCTTGTGTTTTAAGGCCCTGGAAGGATCCAACTATGGTGTTCGGGTAGCAGTGGCCAAACTGCTTGGGACAGTCATGGCGACTGCCCTGATGCCCAAACAAGCAGCTGGTAGGTTTAAAAAGCATATGTATATTGGTGTTCTTCTGCTACAACATTCACCACTTGCATAGTTAATGATCTTACTGTTTTATTTTAGTGATGCGCCAGAATGTGAAACGGGCCACTCTGGAGGAGGTGTTGGAGCTCATGGCCACAGGCTTTCTGCGTGGTGGATCTGGCTTCCTGAAGAGTGGAGGAGAAATGTTGAAGGGTGGCGCCTCTGTCAGCAGAGAGGTGCGGGTGGGCGTCACACAGGTGAGGTGAATTCTGAAAGCATAACAAGCATTTGAGCCTGTATTGTCTGATTTAACAATTTCACATGTAATCTTCCACTTCCTCAGGCCTATGTCGTGTTTGTGACTACACTTGGTGGTCAGTGGCTGGAGCGCAACTTTGCCACATTCCTGTCCCATGTTTTGGACCTGGTGTCCCACCCGCGGGCCACACAGACACATGTTGAGGCTGTGTACTCACGCCGCTGTGTCTCCTTCATGCTGCGTGCCACTCTGGGGGGCTTACTTGGAGAGAAAGCACAGATTGCTGCTGGCAAAGAAATCTGCCAAGCCATCAGCAAGCAAATGAGGGCTGTGGGTAAGGAGGATGGGGGGGAAATATCACGGTTCAGAGCATTACAGAGTAAGTACTCATCCATTTTTATCACTTTTAATTTCATTCATTCAGTTTCTAATATTCTTGCATGGCTTGCACTAGTGCTGTGTATGGAGATGCTTTTCTTTTCTGTCTTGTGTGTGGAGATGGCTTTCTTTATTTCTGCTTTCCTTCTAGCGTTGTGCTTTTGCCTCTTTTGTGTTACTCTCATCTTTCTTTACATCTCTTTTTAATCATAAGTGGTATCATAATGTCAGTAACATTATCCATTGCCAGCTCAGCATTTACAGCAAGTTAATCATGCTTGCATTACTCTCTAGTTTTCATGGCTGTTTGCCTGTGAATTTACATTCTGTTATTGCATTACACTCCACAGCAACAAGACAGTATTAACAAGTTTTTCTGTCATTTAATTTTATTTATTTTAAGTGCACCAAATGTTCCTTTTTTCTGCTCTATAACAACACCTCAATCATTTTATAATCACCTCAGCCTCATTCAGAAAGGATGATTCTTACTCTGATTTGCTTTGCAACCTTTACACTGTTGTAAATAATATCAGACTTTTCTTTTTACTGATGTTGAAATGGAATCAGGAAAATATGCTGAATGTTTGTGTCTGTCAAGACTTGGTTTTGGTCTCTTTACTGTACTTCCTGCTTGTAGCTGTTCCAACAACTGCATCTGTGAGACTTCTTGAAATGTGCTACTGTTTGTGCTACAAGTAATTGGGAAAACATTTCTTAGATCCTTCTGTATTATACAGTCAGTTCCTTGTATCCAAGGTTGTTTGGGGAAAAAGACATGACTGCCACAGTTCAAGCAGCTTTAAATCAGTTCCTAAAGTCACTAAATTGACTTTTCCTTATGTGTGATCTGTCTCAACTGTTGCCTAGAGCTCTGAGGATTTCAGCTGTTGTTAAATGGCCATCAGACTGGCTTAACAGCAATTAAATTTGACAGTTTTCCTCTTTGCCTTTGCACTTTAATGAATCTGTTGTGACTGTTTCCTGTCTTATATGAAAATAATCCACAAAGGCCTAAGGTTTTTTTTGTCATATATACATATAGCACTGTGCTCTTCTAAACTGTGATGTAGTAATTCTGTAGTTGCAGAACTTTGCAGTGATGATATGCAACAGCATTGCATGGCCTAATGTGATCAGTCAGTTGTGTTATTACTAGATACAGTATACCCTAATAGTGCCAGAGGATCAATAGAGCCTAATTATCTTCTGAAACTAAGTCTCATGTTTTTGAGAAAATTATTTAAGACTGTGTTGATTGGCAGCTACCTTATCCATCGGTGCTACACACATTCTGAATTATGAGTAGCGTGTTATTATATTGCTAAAAATTATTGTTAACTTGCCAGCACTTTGTGCTAGGATTTTTGGTCTTATTCAGTTTGGAACATTTTTGCATTTTGTCCTAACAGATCCTTTTTTGTTTGTTTCTCTGTTTCTGCCACATGTTTTTCCAGAGGCGGTTGTGAATGACATCAGTGGAGAGAATAAGGCGGGGGCAGCTGACGTCTCTGCCAGTCAGCATGTTATGGTGTGCGCACTGAAAGAGCTAGGCAGTCTAGTTCAGAGCTTGAGTGCCACAGCTTCACCACTCATCCAGGAGCCTTCTATAGGTGGGGCGCACCGACTGTTAAATGACATATGTTACATTGATTTTAGCGCTCTTAAGTTTCAGTAAGACAACACACATTGGGTTAGTGATAATAACCCAAACCAAAGTGAAAATGACAATTTGTATGATCAGCCTCATTTGTCTTCTTTTGTAACTTTAGTGCTATGTTAGGACATTTAATTCATTTATACATTTATTTGTTAAACAGAATGCAAACAGCTATATAATGTAATTTTTTACACCAATGAATTAATTTAGACTGAATTCATTCACAAAAAATATTTCCATTCATTTTTCCCAGGACTCCTTGAAACTGTGACTTCAGTGCTGTTGCACCCAAGCATGGCAGCTCGTTTGGCGGCGGCCTGGTGCCTGCGCTGTGTTGCTGTGGCCTTGCCCTATCAATTGACCCCACTGTTGGATCGTTGTGCAGAGAGGATCAACAACCTGAAAAGTTCACCTGAGGCTGTGAGCGGCTACAGCTTTGCAATGGCTGCTCTGCTGGGAGGTGTACACCAGTGTCCACTGGGTATCCCCCACTCTAAGGGCAAGGTGTGTAGCCCTGAATGGCACACAGATCAGTCACTGATTCAATGTCTTAAGTCTTCTTCGTCTTTTTGACAATTAGATCTTCACCCTCACTGACCTACAACTGAGGCCCTATTGGTTGTCCTGTATAGGTTTAAAGATTGAACTGATTGTACTGTTCCTTTCTTGAAGTTGGTGGTGAGTATAGCTGAAGACCTCCTGCGGACAGCTGCTCAGAACAGTCGATTGTCCCTGCAGCGCACACAGGCTGGATGGCTGCTGCTAGGGGCCCTTATGACTTTGGGTGAGTCTCCCAGACATTTTCTGTTCCTTGACAATGTATCAGCAAGCCCTTTTATCACCACCAACATGGCCACCACATTATTTGTATTTTCAGGTTCCTCTCTCGTGCGCTATCACCTCCCCAAGATGCTTCTACTGTGGAGGAACGTGTTTCCTCGCTCCCAGAAGGAGCTGGAGGCAGAAAAGGCAAGAGGAGACTCCTTCACCTGGCAGGTCACCCTGGAGGGCCGCGCTGGAGCACTGTGTGGTAAAGAAACACTTTGTTTACCTTCACACGCTCTGTAATGTCAGCAGCGACACAATTTAGACCAACACTCCTGTTCCTTGCTTTTGTAGCCATGCGTAGTTTTGTGGCCCACTGCCCTGAGCTGCTTACAGAAGATGTGATCCGTAGACTGATGACTCCCATTGAATGTGCCATGACCATGATGTCTCAGTGAGTGGGATGCTTTTAAGGATGATTATCTGTTGAACATATAAAAACATAGAAGTCTTTTGTAGTTTTTTTTTTGTACACACAGGTCACAAATTTTTGTCATGTATGATAACTGTTTCCTCTGATTTAACATCTAATGACTGTTATGTTTTCACCTTTTGTCAGTGTCCCCGCTATCATTAAGGTCCATGGTGCTCACTTGAAAGCAAGTGCAGCAATGGTGAGGCTCAGGTTGTACGACATCCTGGCTCTGTTACCTCCCAAGACATATGAAGGTAACACGGTCAAGTCTGCATTTTTTTTCCACAGGAGTTAAGATCATTAATAGAAGGTGTTTTGAACCCTGTAATCTTCTTGTGTAGGCATCTTCAATGCTCTTCTGAGGGAACTAGTGGCTGAGTTCACTTTGACAGACAACTCGGCCAACACCACCACCTCTTTGCTCCGCTCTCTCTGTCACTATGATGACAGTGTGCTCATGGGCTCCTGGCTACAGGAGACTGACCACAAGTGCATAGAAGATCAAGTTAGTTAAAATTACCTGTAATAACACAGTGGGTAAAATAAGTATTGAACATTTTTCTCAGTAAATATATTTCTAAAGGTGCTGTTGGCATGAAATTTTCACCACATATCAGTAACAACCCAAGTAATCCACACATACAAAGAAAAGAAAACTAATTAATTAATTCAGAAATTAAGTTATGTGTAATAAAATGGGGCACTATACAACATTTGGTCTGTGCTATTAGTGTTAATATTACTGCTTCATTGGTCCTAAACAGCTACAGCCCAACAGTGCATCTGGCAGTGGAGCTCTGGAACACGATCCCTCCTCCATCTACCTGCGTATCCCTATAGGTGAAGCCATCCCGGGGCCTCTCCCTTTGGGTGTGTCAGTCATTGATGCTTCAGTGGCTCTGTTTGGTGTGGTTTTCCCCCATGTCTCCTTCAAACACAGGTAAACAATTTATTTGTTGTGGAAAATTTGATAAGTGGTTTTAATGCTTACTTCAACATTTTTACATTATCTCATCTTTTTGAGTTTGTTTACTTTGTTGTACTTTGCAACGGATTCTGACTGACATCATATATAATCCAGGCTGCAGATGCTAGACCACTTTGCAGAGTGTATAAAGCAGGCTAAAGGAGTTCGACAGCAGGCAGTCCAACTAAACATCTTCACAGCGGTGCTTAGTGCTCTCAAGGTGAGAACAAATTACTTGCATGTGAATATCATGTTTAATTTTGTAGGTAGTACTGTGTATTTACAGTGAGAATTGATGTATTTATTTCTTCCTCTCTTGACTGCAGGGACTGGCCGAGAACAAGAGTACTCTGGGCCCTGAGGAGGTACGTAAATCAGCACTGGCCCTGGTGATGGGAGCATTGGACAATCCCAACCCCATCCTGCGCTGTGCTGCTGGAGAGGCCCTGGGCAGGATGGCTCAGGTGGTGGGAGAGGCTGCCTTCATTGCCAGAATGGCACAGACTAGTTTTGACAAGTAAGCATTTCATATCTGTATTGTGTCCAGTACTTGGTCTCTAGGTCTGTTCTGTACAATTCTAACATTTTGCTGTAGGTCAGTAGTGTTTTCAGGAAGATCATTTTAGTCTTTGCATTAATCTACAGTATCTTCAGCTACTGCACCTCTCTATCCTTGGCTTTAATCATGGGATCCTTATCTTTCCTCCTTTTTTTTTGTATCCAGACTGAAGTCAGCCCGCGATGTTGTTTCTAGGACGGGCCATTCACTGGCTCTGGGCTGTCTGCATCGATATGTTGGAGGAATTGGCTCTGGCCAGCATTTAAAGACCAGTGTCAGCATCCTATTGGCCCTGGCCCAGGATGGGTCCTCTCACGAGGTCCAGGTGAATTACTCAGGACCACAATATACTGCATATCAGAGTTCAGTCATAGTTGAGTGAAAACGGGAGTGTTAGAGAAGTTTGAATAATCTTTTTTCCTGTAACTACGTCTGTCCAAACTATCGATGTGTAGTTTCAATTCAAAACATCAAACTTTGTAATATCTTTTGAACTTTATTCACTGCTAATTCAGATATTGTCTACACTTTTTTTTTTTTTTGGTCAGACATGGGCTCTGCACTCTCTGGCTCTGATTGTCGACTCCAGTGGTCCCATGTACAGAGGCTATGTGGAACCCACCCTGTCCCTGGTGCTCACCCTGCTCCTCACTGTGCCCCCGTCTCACACAGAAGTGCACCAGTGTTTGGGCCGCTGTCTGGGAGCTCTCATCACCACTGTGGGACCAGAATTACAGGGTAACTGTGGCAGAAACAAAATCACAAACCTTGTTGTGTTACTGGGACTCGCTTATCTTAATGTACCCTTTTCTGGCCAGCAGATGGCAGCATAGTCAAATTTAATGCACTACATGTCAGTGAAACAGACTTGGAGACTGTGTATTCTCTGAGCTGCTAAAATTATGCTTCTTTTTAATCTCCTTTCCTAATCTGTTTCATTGGGTCTGATAGGAAATGGAGCCACTATCTCCACCATCCGCTCGTCCTGCCTGGTTGGATGTGCCATAATGCAGGACCACTCTGATTCCCTTGTGCAGGCAGCTGCCATCTCGTGTCTGCAGCAGTTACACATGTTTGCTCCACGCCATGTCAACCTGTCCAGCCTGGTGCCCTGTCTCTGTGTAAGACAAAAGGAGTTGCAGTCTACAAGTACAGTAGTTGCCTTTGTCTTAATCTTATCATAGTTTCCTGCTGTAATGTGTAATACCTGCAGGTGCACCTGTGCAGCTCTCACCTGTTACTGCGCCGTGCTGCTGTGGCCTGCTTGAGACAGCTTGCCCAGAGGGAAGCTGCAGAGGTGTGTGAGTATGCTATGAGCTTAGCGAAGAGAGCAGGAGACAGCAAAGACAACACTACAATCAGTGAGTACAAATCATTAACCCAGCAAGAGCATTATGTTTAATTAATGTACCTCAGTGAGACACTGACTCTTGACTTCATCCCTGGTTCAGATCTGAACATCACAGAGACTGGTCTGGAGGGTGTGTTGTTTGGCATGCTGGATCGGGAGACGGATAGGAAGCTGTGTTCTGATATTCATGACACACTGGGCCACATGCTGTCTTCTCTTGCTGTGGAAAAGCTTTCACATTGGCTGAAACTCTGCAAGGATGTCTTGGCAGCAACTACAGGTAGCTCTACAAAAACTACAGGTAGCTCTACAAAACAACAAAATATGATGTTGCCATGTTCTCGGGTTTGTTGGTTTCTGTATTGACATGTTCTAAAAATGAATGAATGTTGAATTACAAAAAGTCCTTGAATAATGAATGTCAGATGTAGGTGGAGCCGTTGTATTCGAGGTGGAGAAGGATGAAGAAGATTCCGAGAAAAAAGACGAGATGGACGATGACACAATGTTCACAGGCCTGGGGGAAGATGACAAAACCAAGCCCTCTGTGGCTCCACGCTGGGTGACGCGGGTGTTTGCAGCTGACTGCTTGTGCCGCATCATCCTGCTGTGTGCGAATGCAAACAAAGCGCACTTTGACCTGGCAGCTGCCCGCTCTGCACAAGCCAAGAACGTCAAAGGTGCCAAGATACCTGAGTAGCTCAGACTTCACATAAGGACTTGTGATTGATTTGTTCCACCTGTAGTATAACGTTAGTTTAAATGCCTTTTTTATAACCTCCTGGCAGTTCTAGTGTCATCTTCTAGGTAAAGATGGAACAAAAGTAGAGATGAGTCAGCAAAAGTGGAAGGGATTTTTTTTTTTTTCCACTTTGGTGACAGATCGAGGAACCAGTATTTACATAAACTCCTCTGAAAGAGGGAATCATTCTACAGGCTAGACAGTAATAGCACATAGTGATTAAAGCACATACTTATTTTGCAGCTCTAGAAGCAGCCAAGCCAAATTTAGCAAGTTGGATTGAGTGGATGGTTGGTCTGTGTCACGTTAGTATGCACAATTAATTCCTTTGACGGTGCACATCAGCTAAAACTCAGCCTCAAGGTTGATTTCTGGTTTCTTCTTTCACAGCAAGCACACACTGAAAACCATTTGTTGTGTCCATCTGTATTTAATCTTAAATTAGTTCTCACTAAGAGGGAGGTGTTAAAAAGGCAAGCAGAGACCTTAGAGGAGACTATATTTGCACCTTCTTGCTGACGTGCAACTCATCATCAAATGATTGCTAAAGCAAATAATAAACGGCAACTGGCAAATTTTGAAATGAAGAGAAATCTGTTATAAATTCTATTTTCTGTTTGATTAATGCAGCTGCTCAGTGAGGTCCCATTCCATGCAATGATTATAAATGCGTTTCCATTCCTCTGTCCATCCAGGAGATCTGCTGGTGCTCCATTTGTCCGACCTCATCCGTATGGCCTTTATGGCCGCAACAGACCACAGTAACCAGCTGAGGATGGCTGGCCTGCAGGCCCTGGAGGATATCATTAAAAAGTTTGCATCCGTACCAGAGCCTGAGTTCCCAGGGCACGTTATCTTGGAACAGTACCAGGCTAATGTGAGTTAGAAAATGCGTCAAATTGCTTTAGGCCGCAAAATTCCAAAACGAATAGTGACACAGTAAATGTAAAACAGTTTGAAGAAATGAATTTTACACAGGTTGTATGCATTTAGGTTGGAGCTGCCCTCAGACCTGCATTTTCACCTGATACACCATCAGACATAACAGCTAAGGCATGCCAGGTAAGACACCCTGCTTTCTTTATGTATGTTTAGAGGAAATGTTTTACCAGCTAAACTGGTTTCCACTTCTCCTGTATTGTTTATTCAAAGGACCTCACAATCCTGTTTGAGGTGTACATGCATAAATTCAGAGATTCTTCATTTTAGTGTGCTGTGATTTTGGTAATTATTGCAGTTGCTACTGGATACCTGAATTTCCCTCGGGATGTATAAAGTATCTATCTCTTTCTTCTACTATTAGGTACCTGCTCTGTTTGTGCTCTAGCATTTATTCTGCTAAGCAACCCTTACATACTGTACATCCATACCTGTATATATTGATGATGTCCTCTGTAGCAGTGCTACACTACTACCACTGCAATAGCAGTTACTTGCCACTGCACAGTGAGTCAGTAGAATCCAGCAGTGCCAGATTGTCTTAATGCTCTTTGACTTATTTAACTGGTGTGAAGAATGAGTGATGGGAGAAAAACAAATATGTCTCTATGTTGGCAGTATTATTAAAAAACCTTTTTTTCTTTTACCCACTGAGACTATTTCTGTGTCTTCTACAGGCCAAAAGCTTGAGGGTTTCTCTCTTCAGAACAGTGTAGAAAGTAAAATCAGTATTCATAATAGCATCCTTTAGGTGCCCAAACAAATGATTAAGAGCATTTAATACAGTACATACCAGTGGAACCTGCAAGGTCACAAGGTCACATGACCTGCAGGGACATGTGACTATAGTTTAAATAGGCAAACGGGTCATGCTAAGTACATTTCATCAAGTTCATCATAACACATTTGAAAGTCTTCTTAAAGAAAGTCTCCTGCCCTTGGCTCTCTGACACTGTAATAGCAGTTCTCATCAGAAGGATGTAATCTTACATATGTCAGCATCAATTGTGCAGCCCTATCATGTCAGTCCCATTTATCATTAATTCTTCTGTGACACTTCCAACCTATTTAATGGCATGTACAGAATCATGGCTAATAAATCTTAAACGTTCTGTTATGTAGGTTTAAATTTTCCCAAGAGTTGTAACAGAAACAGTAGCTAAAAGGCCATGGGTGCTGTACAGTGAATTTGTTTCACCATTTATTAACTTGACCCCACTGTGTGGCTACAGGTGTGTAGCACATGGATTGGTAGTGGCGTAGTCAGTGACCTCAATGACCTGCGGCGAGTCCACAACCTGCTTGTGTCATCACTGGACAAGGTGCAGACTGGGAGGGGCTCCTCCTGTCAGCTGTACAGTGAGAGTGCCACCACAATGGAGAAACTGGCTGTGCTAAAAGCATGGGCTGAGGTGAGACTGAAGACCCTGATCAGAGCACTGTCTTATATTTGTTCACTGCAGATGATGTATACATAATAAATCTGACTGTACACACTGGCTTCCTTGCTCAGGTGTATGTGATGGCAATGAAGATTAAAAAAGAGGCAGAGTCTAAGCCTGCCAAGCCAGTCCGAAGTGGAGATGACGATGAAGATGAGGAGGATCTGGGTGTCGATGTGCTTCCGCCCGACAGCCTCATCACCTTAGTGCAGCCAGAGCTGCCTTCACTGAGCCGCCTCTGGCTGGCCATGCTGCGAGACTATGCTCTGCTCACTTTGCCTGCTGAGTTCTCCAGTCAGCTGCCTCCTGATGGTATGAGATACATTTTTGCCAAAAAAATATTCAATGTATAGTAGAAATATGTAATTTTAAATGCAATATTTTCTACTTAAACTGGAAAGTAAGTTGTTGTAAAAGCATTTTCTCACAGTTGTATGCCTGTGTTCAGGTGGAGCATTTTATACTCCAGAGACTATAGACACAGCAAGACTCCACTACCGTAGCTCATGGGCTCCTGTACTGCACGCAGTGGCCCTGTGGCTGAGCAGCACCGGGTTTGGAGCAGGACAAGAGAAAGAAGAGGTTCCTTTAGCTCCCTCGAAGACTTTTGCCCTCCCGCAAGGAGCCTCCTCCCCCTCAAAGAACTTTGAGGACTCAGTCAAAGACAGGATGCATCTGATGTTGGGTAAAATACACAGAACCATCATCTGTGGTGGAGAACATTTATTGTGCTGTTCTAAGGAGGGACACCTGCTGTTGGCCAAACTGTTGAAAAAGCAAAGAAGCTCAGGATGGTAGCAGATGAGAAAAGAAAATAACATAAACACACCCTAACTGCATTTTTGTTTTCTGTTTCTCAGGCGTCAGTATTGAGTTTCTTTGCTTCCCACGGCCCGAGGAGCCTATTGAACACGTGGTGTCCTGCTTGCAGGCACTCTGTACTCTGCTAGAATCTTCTTGTGCTAAGACCCACATCGCAGAGGACCAGGTAAAGACACAAAGTCAGAGTGCTGAAATTACACTTTTAAGAAGGATGGAGATAAGGTAGGAGGTTTCTACTTTATTACACATTCAGCAAAGAATTTTAAATAAAAATCAGTGTTTTCAAACTTGATGCTGCAGTTTAGGAACCAGCACTTGTTTGTTTAGTAAATATAGAGTACTTTTACAAACCTGGCATTTTACACATGACACCTGTTATTTACACCTGGCACTAGCTGTTTCATAGGTCTAGTTCAAGAGATATATTTACTGGTGACTGATCACCACTTTAGTGCAAATATCTGGTAAATACAACAGGGTCATGTGATGTTTACTGATTTCACAAGGTGACAAGATTCACACCAGTGCTTCACTACACAACTGACCACCACACAATGTACTTTTTTCTGTTGTAGCTGTTGGCGGTGGAGCTGCTAAACGTGCTCCACAGGCTGCTGTTGACCCGGGATCCTCCTGCCATTCAGCTCCAGGTCACAGCTGTTGTACAGGAGACCATCAGGGCTGCACAGGACCATCTGCAACAACAGAGGACCAGCAAAGAAGTGCTTTATACAGTGCCTTGCGAAAGTATTCGGCCCCCTTGAACTTTGCGACCTTTTGCCACATTTCAGGCTTCAAACATAAAGATATAAAACTGTAATTTTTTGTGAAGAATCAACAACAAGTGGGACACAATGATGAAGTGGAATGAAATTTATTGGATATTTCAAACTTTTTTAACAAATAAAAAACTGAAAAATTGGGCGTGCAAAATTATTCAGCCCCTTTACTTTCAGTGCAGCAAACTCTCTCCAGAAGTTCAGTGAGGATCTCTGAATGATCCAATGTTGACCTAAATGACTAATGATGATAAATAGAATCCACCTGTGTGTAATCAAGTCTCCGTATAAATGCACCTGCACTGTGATAGTCTCAGAGGTCCGTTTAAAGCGCAGAGAGCATCATGAAGAACAAGGAACACACCAGGCAGGTCCGAGATACTGTTGTGGAGAAGTTTAAAGCCGGATTTGGATACAAAAAGATTTCCCAAGCTTTAAACATCCCAAGGAGCACTGTGCAAGCGATAATATTGAAATGGAAGGAGTATCAGACCACTGCAAATCTACCAAGACCTGGCTGTCCCTCTAAACTTTCAGCTCATACAAGGAGAAGACTGATCAGAGATGCAGCCAAGAGGCCCATGATCACTCTGGATGAACTGCAGAGATCTACAGCTGAGGTGGGAGACTCTGTCCATAGGACAACAGTCAGTCGTATACTGCACAAATCTGGCCTTTATGGACGAGTGGCAAGAGGAAAGCCATTTCTTAAAGATATCCATAAAAAGTGTCGTTTAAAGTTTGCCACAAGCCACCTGGGAGACACACCAAACATGTGGAAGAAGGTGCTCTGGTCAGATGAAACCAAAATTGAACTTTTTGGCAACAATGCAAAACGTTATGTTTGGTGTAAAAGCAACACAGCTCATCACCCTGAATACACCATCCCCACTGTCAAACATGGTGGTGGCAGCATCATGGTTTGGGCTTGCTTTTCTTCAGCAGGGACAGGGAAGGTGGTTAAAATTGATGGGAAGATGGATGGAGCCAAATACAGGACCATTCTGGATGGAAACCTGATGGAGTCTGCAAAAGACCTGAGACTGGGACAGAGATTTGTCTTCCAATAAGACAATGATCCAGAACATAAAGCAAAATCTACAATGGAATGGTTCACAAATAAACATATCTAGGTGTTAGAATGGCCAAGTCAAAGTCCAGACCTGAATCCAATTGAGAATCTGTGGAAAGAACTGAAAACTGCTGTTCACAAACGCTCTCCATCCAACCTCACTGAGCTCGAGCTGTTTTGCAAGGAGGAATGGGCAAAAATTTCAGTCTCTCGATGTGCAAAACTGATAGAGACATACCCCAAGCGACTTACAGCTGTAATCGCAGCAAAAGGTGGCGCTACAAAGTATTAACTTAAAGGGGCTGAATAATTTTGCACGCCCAATTTTTCAGTTTTTTATTTGTTAAAAAAGTTTGAAATATCCAATAAATTTTGTTCCACTTCATGATTGTGTCCCACTTGTTGTTGATTCTCCACCAAAAAGTACAGTTTTATATCTTTATGTTTGAAGCTTGAAATGTGGCAAAAGGTCGCAAAGTTCAAGGGGGCCGAATACTTTCGCAAGGCACTGTAAAGCACCCCACAAGTCCAGCCTTGTTTAGATTACATTACAATACACTTTATATTCTGAAAATACAAAGTAACTGAAAGATGAGTGAAGAACAGAATGTTAATATCTTAATAGTGTTGGTAGTTAAATGAATTAAATTATGTGGATGTCTGAGTGATGTAGGTCACCATGTCATTTTGTTTAGGCAAAGAGGAAGAAGGAGAGAAAGACTCTCAGCCCATCCTAGGGGAAGGAGGAGACACAGGGGAGCTCATCCCAGGCAAGTCTCTGGTGTTTGCAGCTATGGAGCTGCTTGTCTTCATCCTGGTCCGCCACTTACCGCAGCTTAATACACGTATGAAGGAGTCACCTAGCCATGTGCCACTCAGGCCTCAGCAACTACCTGAAGAAAGTGCACGCCTGGTGGCTAACACAGTTTCCATCCTAGCAGAGCTGCCCTCTCTCTGCTCTCCTGCTGGTGAGGCCTGAGGCAAACTGTAAAAAAAGAGATTCACACCATACAAAAATATGAAGCAAAGACACATGATAGCCCATTTCTCACAGTTTACTGTATTTTTTCCTTTACAGGAAGTATGACCATCCTACCTACAGTGCTCTTCCTGATCACCGGGGTGCTGAGGGAAACTGCAGTCAAGACTTCTGACAACTCTGTGCCTGTACCTGTGTCAGCTGCCATGCAGGGCATCAAGACCATCATCACCTCCCCCCTGGCCCTGCTGGAGAGCATGCAGACACAGTGGACCAGCCTTGTGAGAAGTAGCCTGGCGTCTGTGCTGGAGTACTCACAGCCAGGTGAGCAAATACATGTGACTGTGACTTCTGGCCTTTCTGTGGAGGGAACAAGAAAAAAGTATGACAGTAATTCACTGACAGTATGCTTGTATGTTTGTGTCTTTCTGCAGATGAGTCCAGACCTGACATGGATCAGGTCAGTATGTTGACAACAATCACACTCTTCCTGCTTTCTGCCAGCAATGAACTTGTAGGAGTGACCGTCCTGCAGAAGGGCTGTATGGACCGCTTCCGAAATGCCCTCAATTCCAGTGATCCCTGGGTAAGCAACTGTATTCAAATGAGAGTGAGAGAGAAGGGAATTCTTGACCTGGACAAATTTTAGCTGCAAGCAACATTTCGTTCTTTTTGCCCCAGGTTCAGGCCCGGTGTTACCAGCTGCTGTTGTCAGTGTTCCAGCACGCCAGCCGTGCCCTGTCTACCCCGTACATCCACGCTCTGGCTCCACTCATGGTAGAGAAGCTGAAGGCTGTGGAGCTCAGTCGGCCAGGGACTGCTGCTGAGCTGCAGGCTGTGCAGGAGGGCATCAGGGTCCTGGAGAATCTGGTCGGCATGGGTGAAGAACAGAACCGTAAGTATGCCTCTGCCTAATAGACCACTAAAGTACTGCATTTGTTCCATTCAAGTGTTCAGCTCCATTACAGTAGTTCTCATAGTATATAGCTCAATGCTTTTTGATGTGTGCTGTCAAAGATCTGAGCATTACATTTAGAATCCCTGCACTGGTTTACTGCCACTATTGCTTTCAACATTATGCTGTAGTGTATATTCTCTAATATTTATTAAAATGTGTACATTTTGTATTTTGTTTCCCCCATTATCTCAGTCCTGCTTCTTCTTATTTTTATTTGCCTCTTAAAGGAAACTGCACTGCAGGCTTACACAAAATGTGCTATAAAAAGTTGAATGATTTGATATTTGTGCTACATTAAGCTGTGATGTATTGTAGTTTATTTCATGCTTGGTGTTCAGACAGAGTCGTGAAAGGGTTATTTGGGATGCAGCTGGTGTATCACATATGGGCAGAATTAGTTTATTTTTATATTTATTGTATTTAAGGCTGCAACTTCTGATTATTTTCATTACAAAATATATCTTCTGATTATTTTCTTGATTAAATAATTAATTGATTTATAAAATGTCATTAAACAGTTAAACATATTCATCAAAGTTGATAATTAAGATCAGTTGGGCTTGGAGATCTAATGAGTTTCTATTCAGTGTGTTTTGTATCCTGTGAGAATTGTGTATTGAACTTACATTTTATGGCCCATTAATAATTGCTATATATATATTCTCACTTACTGTACCTGAATTGTTTTGTCTTATTCTGGGATATATTTGACGTTATGGTGAATTGATCAGCCAGAGCCTTTTGTCTCATTTCAGATGATGTCTCATACATTATCTGGTCCAGGAATATTGGTTTAGATTTATGGCCTCTGTTTCATTTGTGTTCAGCAGAATTAAACTCTCCCAGTCCTTTTTATGCTGTAATTAGTTTTGCTGTTAGTCATTATGTTTTTAAATTTATCCTAGTTTTATGTGTTTAACAGGGGTGCAGTTACTTGCTCTTCTTGTACCAACTCTTATCTCATACCTTTTGGATGAAAATGCCATCTCCTCTGCATCCCAAGTCTCCGAAGGCCTGCATGATTTTGCCCTTCAGAACTTAATGCGGATTGGCCCCCTCTATCCAGCTGCCTTCAAGATAGTAATTGGTGCAGCACCTGAGCTTAAAACCCGTCTGGAATCTGCCATTCGGGCCAATCAGGCCAGCAGCAAAGCCAAAGCTGCAGCCAGAAAAGCTCAGCCAACAGTGCAAACTGCACCGACCATAAAACTCAAGACAAGCTTCTTCTGAACATGCCAGAAATGTACTGTACACTCTTACAGCGTAGTATAATGTTTTATTGTCTCTTTTTGTTTGTTTTGTCTGTCAACAGAGTACCATATATATGTCTGTATTAACAAGAGCTTCTTAAATGTACTTATTTATTCTACATCTCATCTTTGTTTTTTGATGAATGAGATTTCTTCTTGAAGTAAAGAAGGCAAAAGTGTAAATGTCATTAAACTTTTGAATGGTCATTTTAAAATCTGTAGGAAATTTTGATTGTGTGAATGTATCATTTCTGGAATGGATGCACATTTATAAATGGACACAATTTACTGTTTTCTTTCCATTAGGTTGTTTCTTTATTTCGTGATCTTGTTCTTTATATATGGCCATCATCCCTCACTATCCATAACGTGATGTTTACCATGCCAGTTTGCTCTATTTTTCCATCACCTTGAACATTATTTTATTATTAGATTCCCTCGTGTGTTCATTTAATAGAACCTGTTTTGTATATAGCATCGCAGCCTGTTGTTACTGATGCCTGTATTTTTAGGCCTTTTTTTTTCTCCCAGAGACAAGTAATTTGTTTGCTGATACATGGGGAATATTATCCCATAATGTATGTGCTGCACATCATACAGATTGTTGTTTTCCTTATAACTGATTGTGATTCATAGAGGTGTAATCGCTACCTCAGGTGGTGAGCATCAGATGGCCCTATGTAATATTCCACTGAATAAAGTTGCTTTGACCTCACACCGAAGCAGCACATATTGTACAGCTGATGTTTCCTTACTTTTTGGGTAACATAAACAAGCAGAGATGTTCCTCGGGGATCCGGGGTATGAGAATCGAGCGCCCCCAACCAACATGGTGTGGGCGTGCCTGCCGTTACTGACGTCATTCAATGACAGCTAGCTGTCAGAAAGTGAGTTCATTCCCCTCTGAGCCGAGGAGATCGAGAGTTGTCGATAGGTTTTTGCCCTTCCGTTGGTATCTATATCCACGAATCTGCAAGACAGACCTTTCCACCGAGCCCGGCCATGGACGAACAGGCGGGGCCCGGCGTGTTCTTCAATAATAATAACAACACTGTTTTGCCCGGCGGTGGGAAAGGACCGTTGCCTGATGGCGACGCTGGGGAGGCGGCTAGGGCGCATTATAGTATCCCGGGGATCTTGCACTTCCTGCAGCACGAATGGGCCCGTTTCGAAGTAGAGAGAGCACAATGGGAGGTGGAGCGGGCCGAATTGCAGGTGAAAACCACCACATTTTATGTTTAGACGACAACATATAAGTAGCAGTACCTGTGCATAGCACTGCTTCTTTCTGGTAACTCGCGTTGAGTTTGTGTATTTGATTGTTCTGGCTCCCAGGTTAGCTTGTTAGCTTTAGCTCCAAAGCTAATGGAGCTGTAGCGCCCCCTGACCCGACTGCACGGCGACTGTTTGCGAGCTCTTCACTGTCACCGAATCTAGTAAACTTGCTTTCTGTCTTTAGAAGCAGAACGACAGGGTTTAGAGTTGAACTAGTAAGAAATGGCTCCAATTAAAATATGCCAGCTAAGTAATTTTGTAGTGTAAAAATGTGTAGACGTACAGCTACAGTACCTGTCTACCTATGGCTAAATAGCACTCCGTCTTGGTTTTGATTACTTTAGGCTATATCTCTAAACCCAGAAACAACGACGTGGAGGAAATGTATTAGCTGTTTTAAGTTGTTTGACCTGTTGAGAGTTGTCAAAGCTGACAGACAGCGTACACCAGACAACAGACGGTTGTGTATCTGTTTATGATCTTATCATAAGCTAGCTGCCATGTCACTGCCACACCTGAATAGAACATCATCAAAAATGATGTCTGTCACCGGTAAAAGTCACAGTGGTCTTATTAATTGTACTACTCTTTTTGCATCTGTATATCTGACCCTTACCAGATGTTTAAACAATTCAGCTATTTATAAGATGTATGAAGGCAGGAGGATTTCCTGCTCTGAACTGAATTTTCCAAAGGGAAACCTAACAAATGTTCGGACACTTTGTTTACTTTTACTAAACTAAAAGTTAATATATTGTGTTACATATACCCAGTCTAACTCTGTCTTGCTTGTTTTGGTTTCCACTCCAAGTTTTATATGATTTTATTTTTTAATGTTTGCACCTGTTTGTCCAAGTACTGTGCCATCCTGGTCATCTTTCTGTATATTTACAGGTTGACTCACATGAAGAGTGGTTATAGTATTTGAGGCCCTTTGACTGGTTTATGTACAGCTTTAATTTAGTCTAATTTGAGAAAGAAATAGTCATCACCAGCCTCCATGACTTAAATTATCTACAGAAAACAACCTTTTTTTATCAGGAATTTTTCTCCCAAAAAAGTCATTTTGACATTTTGTGGGATCATAGTTGTTGGATCACAGACAAGAGCCAACACTGGGGTTTAGCAACAGGTAACTGATATCACCAGACTGACCTCGGCTAACAAAGAGACATAAGGGAGACCCTGCATTGTTTCTGGAGGGGTGACGTACATGCCTATCAGTGTAGTACGTTTTTGAGTCATCATTGTCACACAACGCTTTCAGTCTGGCTTGTGTATTAAGCTTCCTGTCTTCTGTTGTGAAGCAAGCTTATCAGAGAAGCAGTAGCAAGTGTGGTAAAGCAGAGTGAGGTTTCTAAATGGCTTATTGGGTTGGTGGCGGCAAAACAGTGCGCGCTCAATTTGAGTTCTTGTTTTTGTTGCACCTAACCATAAACATGAGACCAGCAAATGTTTAGAACATAATTTGAGCTGCAGTAGACTACTTAAATCCTATTGGCTTTATTCATAATTGTGCTCTAATCACTGTAGCACAGTATCCTTCTGAATAGAATATCTTTCTGTGCCAGTGCTGCACCATACTGGAGCAATAATAACTCAGTTATTGGAAAGCTCTAAACATTCAAATGGGATGTAACCTTGTGGTGCCCTTGAAGGATGTATTACAAACACATACGGTAGAAGGTATCAGTGGATTCACCTTCAGTGAAGGGATCACAGTGCAGAAGAAAAGAATTTATAAATTAAAATAAATGACACACATGAATAGTGAAAACTTCTGGTGGGCATAGAGCCTTAATGGAAGATACCATGTAGCATCTTTTGTATGTTCTATTTGGTCCTTTCTGCCCACTGTGTTCATTGTCTTCATATCCGCACACTTGTTTTAATTGCATGATCAAAAGTGACCTCATGCCTTGTATGTTAAAGAAGGTTACATGCAGGGTTTCAGGTAAACACCTTTAAGAGCGGAGAAATTCACAACCCAGCATTATGCTCTCCTTCCGGAACTTTTATTCTTGTTTGTTGCATAGACATTGAATGGAAAACAGATGAAGTTGTCTTCTGTCAGTGTCTGCAAGGAAGACGAAGCACAGGGCTTGTAGGAATGTCATCCAGCCAGCCTGTTAGGTCATGCTCAGAGCCACTCCTCTCCAGTGGAGCAGCACAGAAGTGGTACTGTACATGACCGACTTGTCCTGCTGCTGTGCCGTTTCTGTGTAGTGCACAGGCTGCTGTCATTCAGCAGTCCAGTGGCCACTGATAGTCAACTGACTGTCCCTATCAAAACGGATGTGCTTAGTTATTAATAGTTAAAAGCTCTATCAGCCAGTGGTATGGTAGAGAAAAGGCACTCAGGCTGCAACTAATGATTGTTTCATTATCAGCTGACCAGTGAATCCTTTATTTTTTTAAATGGGGGAGAATAGTGAAAATGGCCTTTAGGTGTGTTTATATACTGTAGCTCATTTAGTCAGATTGACAGTTCAAAACACAAATTCAAAAGCATAATTTTTTATTTACAAATACTTAAATATTCTGGCAATCAAGTAATCACTTAATAATTAATTACATTTCTCTGCATCTACCTTTCCATTAACTAATCATTTTATTTTTAATTAATAGATTGTGAACATGGTATTATTAATGTTAATTTCCTGTTGAACACTTGAACAGTTATTTGACTAATCCTTTAAACATTCTTTAGTTGAGCTGAGCATTGTTAGTGTCACACACACCAGTCAAGTGAAATTACTTTCAATTAGCAATGCACGGCATGCTGCTATTGACTTTAAAGAACTGTCTAGTTGTACAGGATTATAATTCAGTGTTATCATGTGGCAGTTACCACTGGAATTGCATAGTGTTTATAATGTTGTTTACGGTATTCTGTTGTCCAAATGATGGCAACCAAATCATTTTGTAATTAGAAAAATAAAATGAGATGTCTGCAGAGATATACCACTTTATACATTACAGTGGAAGACTGTACACCTTTTTTTATTTTTTTAACACAAGTGGCATTGCGTACCTTTACCTGATGGCAATGCATATTTGCCAGAAACAGTTTTCTGGAGTCATACTTTAGTGTTAATTTAGGTCTTTCCTGGGCCTGAAGGCTGTGCCCAAGTCGAGTTCCGCCCTGTACAGGCCAGGTGAAGTTCCAGTGTACTTCATCAGCCTCCACTTAAGGGGAAATCCCTTCTCTGTAGAGTATCTCCTTGCCACAAGGATCTGTTAGCAGCCATAATTTGACACCAGGAGAAGGTTGAAGGTGACTTGGGCTGTGAGGTGGCTGTGTGTGGGTGCAGACTGAAGCACGGACCCACTTGTCTTCACTGGATAGAAGCGGCTCTTTCTGAAGGAAAGCTTTTAATGTGAGCAAGATTATTATGTAGCTCCTGTTATTCTATTTCTTCTCTTCATGTCAGAGATGACTGCAACTATCTACCTAGAATTAGCCCACCCTCAGTTGGATCACTTAGTGTGATCTCATGTTTACTTTTGCTAATGGAAAAGCCTGAAGCATATTTAGTTCCATGAGGCAGCAATAAGAAGACTTGAACCATTCCCAAACATACACATGCACACACCGTGGCATTCAGAAATTCAGAAATGGCAGTCAGAGTCATTCCTCAGTCGGTACTAGGCCCACCCCCATGCTGCAGTTATTTTTGCCCTCAGAGTGGGCACACACTTCCTCACAAACAATCTAAGTGTTGGTTTCTCAGTATCACTGCTCTCAGATTCTGACCAAGAAATTTTACCCTCTACAAAGGTTATACTAGTTCACATAGAAACGAACGTTACTCAGCGGCTCACATGCTGTCTCACGTAACGACAAAGAATCAACCCCCGGCTCAGTCACTGGTTTAAGATAGACTGTGCAACGCGTATGAAATATTCACAGTATACAGACAATGGTAAAAGGGTTTATTTACTAGGAGAGAGCCTAAAGGGCTATGAACTAAAGCCTGCTCCTCTGAGCTTTGCTCCACTGTCCCTGTTGGCCTTTCTCAGTGCTGCAGCACTGCCTTCCCAGCCTGTTAATGCCCCTCTCATTCCTCCACTCACACTTACAGTCTTTGTCTGTTTCTGTGAGTGTGTGGGACAGCTGCCTTGTTGTGCCAATATTGCCTGCCTCCCCTAGTTTTACAGTAAATCTGAGGTTGCTGGTCTGTCAGTGTTCTAAGTTGGTGCGCTCGCCAATTCAAATTGCTGTTGTCTCAGTTTGAAGTGGTGAAATGATGAAATCTGGTCTGTTGTTTTTTTCCCCACTTTTTGATGTCACAAATGTGTGTTTCCTTTTTAAAGTAAATGGTTAGGGCAGTATTTATTTCACCCATAATTCAGTGTATATTATGTATACATTTATGTCTATATATAGTATTTAATTATAATGTACAACTTGTGTTTAGAGTTTTTCAGCAGGTCACAGCTGGAGATATTTTAATTTGGAAAAATCTCATGACAGCATTGCACTATTTTTATTTATTTTCAGCAATGCATTATTGGTCCAAGTTATCTAAAGTGATTTTGCACAGTTTTCCTGCGTCATATAAAAATGTTAAGCATTAATTTTTTTGTCTAAGAAATGATTGGAATCAACAGAACGCCAGGTTCTTGATGTTAAAGATTTGATGATTCCTTTCCTGTCTGACAGGCCTGAAATGCCACAGGCATACTGAAACTCCAGTGTTTCGGTTTTGTGGTGACACACAGAGACAAGACAGGCCAAAGGGCAGCAGTTTACTGGCTCTGTCTCAGAGGTTTTCCCTAATCATTCAGCATCTGGATAACCTATACAAATGTACACTGTTGCTGATGCTACTCTAATGAAAATCACATTTTGCAAGAAAGGCAGACTGGCATATTTTTTTTTGCAAATACATTCCAACATCAGACCCGTCATTCTTGTTTCTTCCATGCATCTTTACTCTCTAGATTGTTAAGCTGTTGTTTCAGCATTGTTCTGCCAGAACCACAATTAAAGACAGCCTATTTGTCAGAGAAAATGCTGATGTTGAAAAATGTACAGTAGCTTTTTGCCTGCATGTGTGAGTGTGAGCATTGTTGCCATGAGCCTTATGTAACATTAATGCAGCAGCATGGGGTGCAGCACCCTTGTCCTCAAGAAGCCCAACATACAGCCTTTGGGTGCACCCGCTGTAAGGTAGCACTGCTGTGTCAACTTGGCGTAAGCTGTGTGACGGCAAAGTGTAAAGTGAAGCTCAGGTGGAAACTCGTTATGTGATGAAAACAACATCTGTATGTGTGAAGGTTTAGAAAAAAAAAGATGTATTGTTGACTATGTGGAATCTCTGGCACTATACGGTGACTGTTTTTGTTTTCTTGGTATTGCACAAGAAGTGAAAGGCACAGCGTGGCTCATTCCTGATAACTTAGCAGAAATCTATATTAAATCACAGTCTGAACAGCTCACTGTCTCACCATGATCCTCAGAGCAATCCTGAATCCATGCCCTGCGGACAGGCTGAATCTCAGGTCCTCAGTATTTCACATCCAACTCACTTGGGGAGCTAAATGGAGCAGTGCATTAAACTAAGCAGTTCGATACCCACACTTGACAGTAAGGAAATGACTGCAATGCATCTGCATACAATCAGTCTGTAGCCTTTTTACAGATGCTCTCTGAGACAGAATATGGTTGTGGAAGGATGACCGGTTTTAGTGCAAACACTTAAATTATTTTCCCCGTCTTGAGCAGAGAAGGAGGCGAAAGCGATGGCTGACTGTGAAACTGGAGTTTCTGTTACTGAATAGTTATTGAAGTTCCTTTAGGAGGGTACAGGGATAATCCACGCCAATTCAGCCTTAATTTTACAAATGCGTCATTGCAGTCACAAAAGGTTTGTTGCACCTAAGGGTGGGCAGAAGTATGTTTTATCTTATACTGTGGCTGCTATGCCTTTAGTATTTCTGAATGTATTAAACAGGCCTTAAACGCCCTGATTTCCACACACTATCTGTCAACAGATTGTATTATACTGTTATATCAGTATTGTGATATTAAATTATTATTCTGGCAGTCTACAAAATAGTATGAGCATATTTAATTTTTATGAAGACAGACTATACTTATGACACTTAAGGAAAATCATGTTTGCATTTAGATTCTCATTTATAAAATCATGAGCTTTCTGAGCATATACAGAAGCTATTTAAAGTGATTAAATATAATTTTTAAAGTGATCAGTCTGTAAAAATTTGGCCTACAGTCAGCATGAGTGACAAATATTACATTAAGCTATGGTTTGTGGTGACGCTTTCTACGCACAAATAGAAAATGCACTGCTGTAGCCATGTTACTGTGTTCACCAGCATCTCTGTCTCACTGCCTTTCCTCTGTGCTAGTAGCGTATTGGTATGCGTGGAATGTACTTGTTACTTATCAGGCTGGCCATCGCGGTGCTTGTTGGTTTGCTGTGAGAGTAGACCAGTATTCACTAAAGGGCTGTTTGCATTGTAAATATGGGCTTTACATCAGGTCTGTTTCCTGTCCTTTGCTCTGACCGTGGCTCAGGGGCCACACTGTAGGGCTGTTTTTGGTTTTGTGTTAGCTGTGAAGTTATATGAGCACCCACTGAAGTTCTTTTACAAAAACAGTGAGCTCACTGGATTTTTGACAGTGTTCACTCTGTTTAGATTAAATGGTCTCATTGTGTTGAAGATATTTGTAGAGATGATGGAGAACAAGTCTGTAAGAAAACATGTCTGGAATGTACAAATCTCCAACCTTAAGGGCTTCTATAATTTTAAACAATGAGGATGTCGTGTTATTGTCATCATACATTCGTTGACTGAAAACTGATCTGAAAAGAAGATTAAAAGTTTGGAATTGTCTTCCACTCTCTTCTGTTGTCTGTGTGATCAGCTGCCACCAATGTGTGGTAAAATGCTCTGCATGTGAACCTTGCCAGTGTCACGCTAAAATGAAGAAATAAACCAACTTTCTTGCTTAGATTTGAATTGGTAACTTAAATGGCACTGAAAGGGACAAAAAAAGTAGTATTTCTTTTAAATATCTAACATAATTGAATAATCTTTTGACTTTCTCTTTGTATATGTAGTTTTGTGTGTTTTCATTTTCAAATGTGTCTTTAATTGTGATTTTGTAGGACTGGAAGCTGTTGTCAGACCATTTACTCATGTACTGTTTTTAATTAAGAGTATAAACATGTTTCACAAACTAGAATTGGCTTTATCTCAAAGCCGAAGATATTATGACCAGATGTCTTACCGTAGCTTATTTAGCCAGTGGCTTTATTTTCCTCTCTAGCTGTTAGCCTCTCTCCTCTGCCTCCTTTTCCTGTCTCTGAAAAGCCCCGTGCTGTAGATGTCTCTTACTCAGACAGACTAAGGAGCCCTTATCCAGCAGTCCAATAATGCAGTCAGTGTGAGGCTGGGAATTAAATGCTTCCTGTGTCTCTTTATGGCCCGAGTTGACTCATTGCATTCCTCCCAAGGTTAATGTTTGATGGAAGAGAGATGGTGAGCCAGAGATTCACAGAGCTGCGCTCTTCTCTGTCTCTGGCACCGCAGGATGCCAGGGGACCCTGGGCCAGCACTTCATGTGGATAAGGAAGTACATGGTCGCTCATGATCTCAGTCAGCACAAGATGTACAGTTTCATCTACAGTGAAAAATGAGTCAGTGTGCAGTCCTTGTTTTTGACATGAGGTAATACAGTGAGTATGTCCAAAATAATAACAGGCTGTTCTTACATGCTGTCATTGTTTTGACATCCCTAAGGTCAATGTGTGGCTGTGCTTCACCTCTCCCTGTGGAACTAAGTAATAGGTTTTCTCTGTTGAAGAAATCATGGCACTTTTTTAGTTGTAGTTTATTGCTTTTTGCCTTTCTGATCACCTGAGCCTATAACTGCACCAGGTGCCTTATATTTTTTTTGGCTTTCTATGCTACCTCCCAGTGATACTTGACTCAAGGATGTAGAAGGTCAGATGCATACCAAACGTTGTTAACATTACTGTCAATCCTGAATGCGTTAGTATGGATCCAGCTTTGGGCAAATGCACATAAAGCAAAATGAATAAGAAATTGGACACTGTGTAGATGTATTAAGTAGAATGATATATGTGTTGTGCTGACTCACCTTTCAAGAGCGTCAGCTATTGGCAACTACACAGATGGCTAGCCTCTGACCAGTGCCAGCTAAACCCAGGGCTGTTTATATTGTCAGACTGAGATGCAGTGTCCTAAATCCAAAGAGCACTGGAGCTACAGCAGGCAGGTTGTTATGAGTTCCTCTGCAGAGAGCTGTGGAAGGTAATACAAGGCTGTTTGAAGTGCTCTTATGACTCATTGTTGCAGGCAGCAGCAGAGCTATTTGGCATCCATGTGATACTGTGATCCAGCCCACTCAAAACACACCATCACCATCCTCTGCATGTCGAGTGAAATGCAGAGAATCAAAGACAATATTCCTTCTCTCTCTGAGATGTTAATGTCTTGGTTTGAGTCATTCCCAGGAGACGACCTGACAGTGGCAGCTTCATTCAGATGGAAAAACAGAAGTTGTTGGATAGTTACTGCGCATATTAAAAAAATTTGTCAAAATGATAGTATTATGTTCTGCTTTTGCACCAGCCAGATTTTCCCTGCAGTGTTGCCCCACAAACCCAAAACAGAGTAACCACATATTTAGTAATAAGTAAGACCAGAATCTGCATTTTGATTTACCATGCACTAAATATATGTTTTTGAAGTGTGTAATTATAAAAAACTATGTAAAATTTGCAGGAACTAATGTATAATCCAGAGGTAAGGGTCAGTGACAGCATTCAAGGCTGATGCTGGCTTGAGTGCAGATACAGCTAGCCTCATTTAAAGCAAATTTACTGACATTTTCCTGTTTAAAACTCTATATTGATACTCTATTATCTTAGGAGTGCAGTTTATTATACCACACACAGAGAGCAGTATCATATTGGGGAACAAATTTAGACTGCATAAAGTAATCCTGTTGTAAGTTAGTTGCCCTTCAGATTGTCCAAACATAGATAATGACACTATGATTTTAGCTGTTTTGACTTCTCTCCCTTTTGTAAGGCAGAATACTTTAGACTGGCTTATACTGCTGATTACAAAATGTTTGAACCTGCTGTAGATAGATACAATTTTGCTCAGTGTCTGACTCACCTGCTGCAGCTCACGTACTGTATGCCACACTGAGAGCTAGTCTCGACCACTCTCATTATAAGCGAGCATGTGCGCATGTATGTATGTGTGTGTGTGGTACCCAGCAGTGTAATACAATGTAATACTGACTCAGACTGAGTGCGTCAACAGCTGCTGCCTGTTACTGAAGAGAGACAGTGCTGCGCAGAGGGAGGGGAGGCAGTTGATGTGTGGGAGAGTGAGTAGGTTGGATTAAAATAGAATAGTCCAGTTTGGCGTTTGATTTCCCATCATGCCATGAATATTGATTTGATATCATCCTATTTCAGTCTTGACTGAAGTAGTTCTTAGATGTTGCCTTGTAGAGACTGTAGCCTGCTCATATCTAAGATGCAAAAATATTTAATCTATTTATAAGAACAACTACCGTAAATCTCTTACCACTTTAAAATGTGACCTGACAATCCTATTTTTATGGTTTCAGGCACAAATTGCCTTCCTGCAGGGGGAGAGGAAGGGTCAGGAGAACTTGAAGAAAGACCTTGTGAGGAGGATCAAAATGCTGGAGTATGCTCTGAAGCAAGAAAGGTGAGTGCCCGCTGCAGCTTCAGTCCACCCACAACACACACACACACATTCTTCAGCTGGTCTGCAACCGCTGAAGTGCTTCCATGTTTTGTATGCCCTCAAAAACAAATTCCTGCAGATATGGTAAATGAGAAGGGTGCAGTGGTTGATGTATTAACATCTGCTGCACCTGCACCACACTCCAGAGTGCAGCAACTACCTACAAGAGTTCTTGATAGTATGTAAAAAGTTGCTAGAATCTCCACCATCCTCCTGTTTGTATTCTATGAGCCACCAGTCTGATGTCTCAGCTGGCATCAGCAGAAGCAGTAATGGAGTGAGAGTACCAGAGTGATTCCCCAAGTCCAGCTGGTGTGGTGTCTATGGACAAGAGCATGTGTCGGCAGAAAGTCTTTGTTTGCTGTCAGATGAAGTGACTCTGCCCTCAGCAGAAGGACGGGGCAGGAAAAGAAGAAAGTGGAATTCTCTCTCCACCTGAGATGAGATCATCATCGCAGCTTTCTTTCTTTAGCAAGTTATGAGAATGTCGTTGTTTTCTTTCTCATATTCACCAGCCCGTCACCATCACACAGATTAGTAGTGGTGGTGATACACTTAGCATTTCACAGTCAGACCATTAGACAGGTTGTACATAAACCCCCAGATGAACCATATTTGTTTATAACAGGCGCAGAAGGTGAAAGGTAAATATTAACCAAACTCTCTGTTCTAAACATTAGTCACAGGTTAAACATTCTGGTTTAAATTTTGACTCACAATATTTACTGCAGTTTTGCATGTGCACACAATTTTCCTGTGTAATGAGGGATTATTGCTGACATTTCAGGTGTGTTCCCCATCAATTGTGCATCTAAATAAGGCTTGTTTACTTGTGCTTAAGTTGTAATATACCAGAAATATCTATCTAACATTAGTCAGATTATTATATTTTGACCCCACTCCCTTGAAGGTGTGATTTAAGGCCAGTCTCTGTATATTCAGACCATCCAGTCACTGTCTCATCCTTCAACAACAGCCACAGATGATGTGCTTAGTTGCTCTGTGACCAACAGTAGAAGACTGGTTAAACTGTGTGGGGAATTCTATGGATTCAAAGCAGAGCATGTCACAAATGAGCACAGACAATCAGCAGAGCCCTTCCTAAGTAAAGGTTAAGAATAGAAACATGAAAACTGGGTGAAGTAACAAATGAATATAACTGATCGCAGGTCTGTTAATTTGAGCTGGGAGCTGTAACACAACTGAGTTAGAAGGGTGTCAAAATAGGTTATAGCGCTCTGCTGTTCCTGCAGGCCGCTCAGAGGTTAGTTAAACTGTGCCTACCCATGCTCTCTGAGTAGCACCATCATTAGCTCCGTTAAGCATGGAATCGTCCTCTGGCTGTTTTGTAGTGTGTATTTATCTTATGGTTTCAGTGAGATCACTGCAGACTCTGCCTCAGGAGTGACATTTAACCCAGAATTACTACCACTTTGCCCAGTTGCTAAGCAACAGGTCATGCCTCAGAGGGTATCTAAAAGCAATATCAGAAATGGCTTTCTAAATGTGGGTGCACCCAATTTGATGTTGATGGGGTTTGCTTCCTCTGGATCAGGGGTGGAGAAGTGTGGTGGGGGCTGTGGGAACTAAAGGGTGTGAGAGTGCTCCATATATTGACTCTTTACCCCTGATATGGATGTGTGTGCAGCCACTGGAAGACACTGCAGGGGGCAAGGCTATTGGATTTTATATCAGTTTCTAGATACAAGGGATTTGTTTTATTTATTGTTGTGTGTGTGTGAATCACTTTTCATTGGAATGATGTTGTAATGATGAGTATATACTATTATTTACTCCCTGTACACATTTGTCTACATTTATAAAGTAACAGTTTAACTAAATCAAGTTTGTTTTATGTGTGTAAGAGTCTGAAGATCAAAAGTTATTGCATGAACATCAATTTAATTATGCTATGTGATTTTGCATTTGCTACTACTACTGAAATGAAGAGTTGCTTACTTGGTAATTTAAATATCACATCTGAATATTAGACAATACGTTTGAGTATCACGGCTCATGACCAGACAAATTACGAGGACTGTAATAGACCAGAACAATGAATTATGAAAGTAGTTGCTAGGTGCAGCATTTTTTTTTTTTTTAAACTGATAACCTCATCTAAAACGGCTTTTTAATGTTGTGATATTGATTTCAGTCATGCAGACCTACTGCCTTATGTACTGTAAGTGAATCTGTCTAACAAGCCTCTGTGTTTGTGATCAGTAGAGCAAGTTTCAGTTAGGCTGACTTTCAAAGCTCATGCAGATGCCACACATAATGAATTTTTAAAATAGCTTCTTCTCAGACATTATTGACCAGCCCTGTTGTCTTATTTGCCTTTCTCCTCCTTTTTTCCCGCTGCCTTCCAGAGCAAAGTACCACAAGTTAAAATATGGGACGGAGCTAAATCAAGGTGACATGAAGCCTCCAAGCTATGATTCAGGTAAGTATGTGGAGGCTTGAACAGTCATCTACAACCTCTCCATATTAAACCCCTGTGATTGTTGAGTGCACATACCTAAAGTGGCAAAACTGTTACACGTGTGAAGCCTGAATTCATCTTCAGTCTTGTTTGCGTCATCTGTCAGTGTCGTTTCCTGAATGCAGAATGAGTAAGATTGTTGTTACAGATGGTCTGTGCAAATATTGAGCCTCTTAAAGCATCAGTGAATAACAGAATTGCTTTAAAAATAGAATAGATTGAGCACATTCATAATGGTAGATGTAGGAAAGAAAAGTTTAGACCAGTCACACTTTCACTTTAATGTGAAAAACCCATACATAATGTATAAGCCATAGTGTTCAGAGTCTAATTCAGCTTCAGACAACTTTACTAGAAACCTTTTTCTTTCGCCTCTAGTGGTGCCTGTCCACACAGCTGTGCAGATCGGTATAGTTTTATTTGTCCAGGTTTGGGGGTGTCTGTCTGTCTTGGTCATTTCTGTTTCCATCCAAATGCAAGAGAGGTGAATTGAATTGAACTGAATTTGTAGTGCTTAAAACACTGAGCATTCACCTGTATTGTTTCCAGAAACATCCCCTGTTGTTCTATATAATCCACAGAGCTGTCAGCAGTTTATTGTGAGAAAGTAGTTCCACTGTGGATTATCCAGAGTAACAGGTATGTTGTTTCAGGAAGAAGATTGTGATTTTTTTTTTTTTATGTAATTAGAGCTGAAACAATTAGTCAAATAATTCACTAGTTCAGATCAACAGAAAATTAATGAATATAAATGAAAATGACAAAGTAGACAAACAGCCTCTCAATTGTCTTGCTGATTTTAAAAAAAATATTTTTTTGTCATCTTGTCTGACAGTTTGCAGAGCCACTGATTAATGTGCAGGTTAATAATGTGGAACAACCTGCCTGCTGTAGCTCCAGCGCTCTTTGGATTTAGGATACTGCATCTCAGTCTGACAATATAAGCAGCCCTGGGTTTAGCTGGCACTGGTCATAGCTGTTATGAAATCCCATTCTGAATAATCAGGACAATGAATCCACACTTTGAAAGTGCCCAGAGCAAAACATTTTCATCACCACAAACATGTCATCAACATGGACAAGAGGTCCTTAAGAGCTTAGAAGTGTGGAAATTTGAGCATTGACAATTCAGTGACCGCTCCAGGGGCTGATGAGGTTGTGATGTTATTGAAAAGTCATGAGCATTCCACCGCAACTCTGTGCATGGCTATATACCACCCGAGGAAAGGAAGAAAAATGCACACATGCTACATAAATGAAGCTTAAACTACTTTAACCACTCAATCCTAAACATGTAAAATGTTGCTCTAACTTTTTAATCTTCACCCTCTGCCCAGCATTGCACCTGTTTCAGCCCACTACCTGTTTCTTGTTATATAATTGTAGTCTAATTGGCTTCTTATGTTCAAGTCCTCTACCATCATTAAGTCAGACTGTGATATTTCCACTCCTCTCTCCTCATCTTTATTCATGAGGGCTGTTCAAAGCACCTGAGCCATTGAAGTGCTGATGAATGAGGGAAGATGAGGGACAGGAAGAGGTGTGAGGTGGAGGTGGATAGAAGATGGTGGAGTTGAGGAGTGGGAGGTGTTGCCCGTATGGTGGTGCACCTGCCCGCTTCTCACCCTCCTGAATTAGGCACAACCCACTTTTTGATACACCCTCATCTCTCTGACCCATCAACACACACACACACACACTTTCTCTCTCTCTCTCTCTCTCTCTCTCTCTCACACCTCATCTAAATCTTATTAACACATCTTTCTGCCCTATGCAGTATTCCCAACTGATTTGTAATTGGGTTGCTAATGTTGAATATCAAAATGAGCTATGAATCCCATCATTGTTAGTTTTGTCAGAGCATCATTTTGTTGTGGATGCTGCAGGCACAGACGCACATCGTTGCTCTTTCTAGAATGTCATGGAACGTGGTTGGAGCAGACACCGGCCATTTTGAAGGAGTCATAATGCATTATCTAATATGAAGTTCCTTGTTTTAGCATCAAGAACAAGCTGCTGAAAATGATTCTCAGCTCTCCCCTTTTGTTTCTTTTGCTAGTGCTATTGTGTACACAGTTTAATAAGGCAGTAAATATCTGCTAGAATGTAAATATTTGGATTGAATTGAACAAGTTCACAAGTAATAACTTGGATCCAAATCCAAACATAAAGTAGAAGGTGACTGGGTCAGAGCGTAAATACTACTGCTACTTGTGGGCACAGCTGTTGTGACCATTTTTTTTTTGTTGTTGTTATTTTTGCATTAGGAATGTGTATATGTTGGTATGTTACAGTGCACTGAAGCAATATTGAACTCTAATCCACTGTTAACTTACTGAGAGCAGCTAAGGGCTAGATGTGCATAGTTGCCAGGATGCTGTTTTTTAGGAATGTTGTGGCCATGTTTATGGAGAGCAAATAATGTCAGAGGCTGTGCTGTTTGAGGAGCCCTGATTAATGTCTCTCTTCTGTCCTCCAGATGAGGTCAATGAGAACGAGACGTCTGCATCGCTTAACAATCAGCTGTCCTGGAAACAAGGCCGTCAGCTCCTCAGACAGTAAGTTCTTTGATCCTCCGGTGACGGTCATCAGCCCAGGAAAAATACCCACTGCTGTCTTCTGACATTGGACAGGCCTCTAGCTACATTTCTGTGCAGCAGTATTGTCCCTTGTGGTAGTCGACAGGTTTTGCGACCTCTTCAAGTAGCGGCCCAAGTAACTGAGGGGAAGAGCGCCCCCACATGGGCAGCAGCAGTCATTACCTGTTCTATGTGTTTTCTTTTTTTGTGTGTGTACCCAGTGGGCTCAGGAAAATGTGGTTATCATATCATCCAGCCTTTATCCCAGACACCATCAGGCAGCCTGACACAGCTGCCACAGCATGCTGTTGCTGAGGCAGCCAATTTATTTTTTGCTGTGTGTCAAGGGACAGATCAATAATGTGCTAAGACACCCCTCTCTCTCTCAGTCACTTGCCCACTCAAATTGCTACAGCTTTTTCTTGCATCCATACAGACTAGGTGTAATATTTGATGAGTAGCTCATCTTTCTTCAGCTGAGCTGATATTGTCAACTAGACCGGTGCCAGAGGACACGACACTGTAACAAGAAATTGACTCTTCCTCATCTCTGATTGTATTGAAGTTTTGACTATAAGTGTAATGCAGTAATTTTCCTTTGCAGTAGTATTTGCACACAAATACAACCAGATCTGAGTTTGTTTACCTTGTTCCAGGTACCTGCAGGAGGTGGGCTACACAGACACCATCTTAGATGTGAAGTCCCAGAGGGTCCGAGCGCTGCTGGGATTAGCTGGGGATGGAGCTGGGAGGACAGGTGAACGGATCAGTACCGAGCCTTTGGTCAATGGGACAGATGCAACAACAAAAGCCATGGGCACCAGAGGGTGAGTGTAGATTGTGCAGTCTCAGTTCCTTGTGTGGTTCAGTACACATGGCCTGGAGAGTTGTTATGCTACAGTGGAAGAAAAGAAATCGTTACAAGTAGAAACATCTCATTAGCTCTTGTTATCCATCTGTGCTGCTCTGTTTTTGTAGCAAAACACTTTACCAGCTTCAGCAAAAGTCCTGATGCTTCTATGCATCAAACAAGGAGGAGGGGGAGATGGGGGAGGTGAGAATTAGAGATAGAGATATTTTTAGAAGTAGCATCATCCTGGCTCTCAGGTGTTTTCTGTTGTGTTCTGATTGGTTTGCTTGTAAACATGAGTCGTAGCTAGAGTCGCCCTGTGGGTTGTAAATTTCAGACACCGTTTGCTGCAGCCTGTCTTTGGCTGCCATAGCTATAAATCAGCTGTCGATATGTGTAACAGTCTGATCTGAGGCCTCTGTTTTTGGTCGACACCCACAGATTTCTTTTGTGATTGTAAACTTTTATCTGACACGACCTAAAAATATACAATGTGAAGTGCCCCTAAAGGGCAGCACAGACCATATTTGCTGCAGTTGTGTTGCACTTAAGAGTGATGGGGTGAATCCATAATTTACACACAAGAAAATATAAGCATTGCAATAACGTTTACACATTGTTAGTGCAGCTGCGTGCTCATACATGTGTCACTGTTCCTCAACAGGAAGACTGAGCTCTCTGACACTAGTGCTGTACTGGAGGCCTTCAAGTTCATTGAAAATGCAGCAGCTGAGTTCAGTGATGAAGATGAGGAAGAGGACAGTGAGGGGAAGGACAGGACTATTGTGGAATCCAGGACGGTAAGGCAACAGACTACCATCACTTTCTGAACTCGCGCTGTCTAGTAGAAAGTTGTTGCTGCATGCCGCACTAAAAAAAAAAATTCCCCCCCCCCCCAGATCATGAGGAGGAAGACCCCATCATCACCGGCCAGTATGGACACCAGCGAGGACCCTGATGCAGAGGAGGCACTGAAGGGCTTTGACTTCCTGTCCAGCCCCGATGAGATGGACACCTCACCAGAGTCCAGAGGTCCCGGGGACGGCACAGACTGGGGTGAGTCACCAATCAGTCAAGAACAGAGCATGAAAACTTCTGTGTAGACACTACAGAGACAGTTATAGTACCTGTAATACCAAAATGTAATTTATTTTCTATTGCACAATGATGAGCTTGTTTAATTTTTATCAACAAATATAAAATGCACATTTCAGAAGCAATGAAAAGATGCCTAATTATTTAATGCTGTAATCTTAACATTTGCTTGTTGCTCTAAAATGGACTCATGATCATAGTTTTGGTGACTGTTCGTGATGTAGTTGTCATTCATATTACCATGATGTGGTCATAAATCACAATGTTTGGACTGTGTCTGTTTAACCCATAGTTTGTGATTTCTCACTGTGTGTTTCCCATAGCCAGCCTCTGAGTCATTCCTGTGTGTCTTCAGCTCAGCCTGATTCCCTTGAAGTCTCACAGACACTTTAGATGAAAGCCAGAGAGAATAGGTTTAATGTCATGCAGATGTTTTCTTTGCATTTGAACATTTGCTAGAGTATTTGAGTTGTGTTTACAACAGATTTCGTGTTATGATTAGATTAGATCAGAATCAAGATGTGCAAGTGAAAGAATTCCCCACATGACATTAACTTCCGTCCCACAACTTCTCACTTCTTAGTAGCAAAGAAATTCTGAAATGATTAAGTGAGATGGCTGTGAATGTTGCTCCCAGTTAGGAGTCTAACATCACTGAGGTGGTAGTGGCATGCTTATCGCAGGTCTTAGAGGCCTGCTGCTCTCCTTGAGGCTTGAGAAACCTCCAGGAGAGTATGAGTCTGAAAGAGGTTTCTGCACCTTTGCCCTGCTCTGCCAGGCCACTCGGGCTTTGACCAGGGCAGTTCCTCAACAGCCTCTCGGTCTGGTTTTGTTCCCCCTGTATAGAGAAGGACGAGCAAGGTCCCATTTCTGAGGCCTGGGATGTGGACCCGGGCCTGATAACCAAGCTCAAGGAGCAGTACAGAAAGGAGCGCAAGGGGAAAAAGGGGGTGAAGAGTAAGTCCTGTCAGGCATTGCTGCCTCCCTCCCTCCTACTCCTCTCTTTCAAGCCTGACTTTCAGCCAAAAAGCCTCAAACCACAAGCAAAACATTATCACAGTTTTTTTTTCCATCTCCTTCTCTAGCTGCTCCTTATTATGCCTCTGTCCTTTTGTCTGTCCTTTCATACTCAGTGTAATGCTCGATGCATGTTTTTGTCCCTTGTTTTAATTTATATTCACATCATCTCGTCCATGCTGTCAGATTAATGTGAAAGTTAGTCACGTTCACACGTCCATCTACGTCCCATCTGGGCTAGCAGTAGTCTCCCTGGTGGTTTTCCACACTGGTGTCTTCCCCACTCCTAACAGCATAATTATCACCATCTCCATCCTCATCTCAGCCGTGTTGATACTACAGTAATAAGTAATTTTGCTGCTGTTGTAAACTGATGCCAATTAAAAGCTTTTTCAGTGACTTGGTGAAGTGACTCAGCTGAATACTACTGCTCTCAGAATAACAGCTCTCTTCAGACTCATTCAGTGGCTGAGAGCTCTTAGAATTTATATTTGAGGCCCAAGCTCTGCTTTTCTGCAGGGCTTTTTTTTTTACTGTGATTGAATCATGAGATCAACAGCTCAGCTCATCTCACTTTCGTCTTTTTACACTTCATTTTCTCCTCCACTTGTTTTAGCAGAAATCTGTATATGTTCTTCACGCTATGTCGGTGCTTTATCACTTCTGTGGGTGTGTGGAGGAGATCATCACGAGATCTGTTAGGGTTTATTCAGCCAGTTGTGCCTTTTGTAAACTGTATTTCTTTGCACCAGGGTTCAGTTTGTTTTTGTTTTTTAAGCCAAATCCAAATATAAGCATCCTGAGGCTTCACAGGATCCAGCTCCATCTTGAATTACTCTCTCCACACAGCCAACACTTAGAGATAAATGTGCCCCAGCACCTTTTCTACCTCTTCACCTCATCTAACAAGGACTCTGCTGCTGACTTCTGTTCATTTTCTCTTCTTTTTTATACTATAATTTGTCAGCTTTCTTTACATGTTCATTCAGTATTGTCTGTTTCAGCTTGTACTCACAGTTTTTAATAAAATATTGTTTATGTATTTTTTGGCTCCCCACTCTCCGTCACTGTATACCTGCTTGGTAACACTCTTGACCTGACTTGCTAAACAGGGCCAAACCGGTCCAAGCTGCAGGACATGCTGGCGAACCTGAGAGATGCAGAGGACTTGTCCCACATGCAGCCTCCATCTGCCCCCCAGTCCCGCCCCAACATGGTCCGGTTCAACGAACATGATGGGACCCGAACAGATGAAGGTGCTTGAGGAAAAAATACCAGTAGATTATTGCCAATAATTGTTAACTCTTTGTTAACCCAGCTTAAATTTCCTTCACCCCTTGTCTACGGTGACAACAATGGCTGTGTATTTATTTATTTATTTATTCTTTCCCCAGTTGACGCACTGACCTTCCCGCCCACCTCTGGGAAGTCGTTCATTATGTGCACAGATGAAGCTATGGAGAGCGAGCTGGGCCTGGGGGAGCTGGCTGGACTCACCGTGGCCAACGAGGCCGACAGCCTGGCATACGATGTGAGTAGGAAGAGTGATGGGATTGTTTCTCTGGGTAAAATAAATGTACTATTTCACATTATATGCTGAAAACTTGCCATCTGTGTGTCAAACAGCTATTTTTATAGACAGTGTCATGGGAAGCTGCTCTGAAAGTGTAGTGCTGGAAGATGTCAGTTATTTTTGGAGAACACAGTTCCAAGAGTAATGTCAAAGTCACATGGCTGTAACAAAAAAAAAAACCCTGGGTAGGTTGGACTGTGATAGCAGGCTTCACAGAAAACAATCAAAACAAAGAAATGTCTTCAGATAAAATTAAGAAATCTAATGATTAAAAAAATATTTACAGGAGGTGATGGCACTCCAGAATTGCAGAAACATATGATTCTACCATTTGGGTTTCTAAATCATACCTTCCACTGCAGTTTTTTTTCTTATCCTTGGATGTATTATGTTTTACTATTGTGTTGCTTGTTAGGCAATAAACAGCTCATTAAACGATGTCCTCTCCTCAGATTGGCAACAATAAGGATGCCATGAGAAAGACATGGAACCCCAAATTCACTCTGCGAAGCCATTTTGATGGTATTCATGCTCTGGCCTTCCACCCTGTGGAGCCAGTTCTGATCACCGCTTCAGAGGACCACACACTCAAAATGTGGAACCTGCAAAAGACCGCTCCTGCTAAGAAGTAAGAATGTCACCTCCAGACACTGCTCTAGTCCAACCCACATGATCTTCCTTTTGATTCTTACTGTTGCTTTAATTTTTTTCCTCTTGGCTGAACGGAGAAAGATGAACAGTTTTGTTTTGCTGTTAAGTCCTCCCTTATCTGATCTATTAGAGACACTAACACTCAGACATCAGTGTGTTTGAAAAAGCTCTGTTGATTAAGGGTTAGAGCTCATTTTGTTGATAAACTGTCAACAGTCATAATTTGACAAAGAACTGATAACACTCTGCTCCACAAGACTTGAGCCACGCCATAACTCTGCAGCCCACACACAGCCTGTAGTGATGTGTTTATGTGTAGAGGCTGGAGTCATTTTAAAGCCAAGGGTATTATAAATAAAATAATAAAACAGCTTGGTGTAATATGTGCTGTGTGTCACAGCAGCAAATTGTACATCCATTTGTGTACAACCATGTAATGTTAATCAATTTGAATGCAATCTCTAACACATGCTAAGTTGGCATTGTTGTTTTTGAATGTGACACTAATGACTACATTGTTTGTCCACAGGAGTACATCTTTAGATGTGGAACCGATCTACACTTTCAGGGCCCACAGGTAAAAACAAATAAAATCAGCATACCTGTCTAAGCACTGGTTTAATGGACAAAGAAATGTTAATAGTGCATCATTCATTAACCCACAGAGGGGCTGTACTGAGTGTGGTGATGAGCAGTACAGGGGAGCAGTGTTTCAGCGGAGGGGTCGACGGGACTATACAGTGCTGGAACACCCCCAATCCCAACATCGACCCCTACGACTCCTATGGTAACAGTGTAATGGCACAAGTTTTGTCTAGATCCAAAGACTTTCAAATGAGATTATGGACTCTGATTTGGGTCGTCTTATGTTTTCTGTGACAGACCCATCAGTGTTGCGTGGCGTGTTGAATGGACACACTGACTCTGTGTGGGGTTTGGTGTACAGCAGTGCACACCAGCGCCTCCTCTCCTGCTCTGCAGATGGGACTGTGAGACTCTGGGACGCCAACACCACCTCCCCCTCACTCGCAGTATTCAACGAAAACAAAAGTACTGGTTTTTATCCTGTACCATGACTGGTTTTGGCTTTAACTGAACAGTAAACATAAATGAATCTGTCTCTCTGTGCTAGAGCTCGGAGTCCCCTCCTCTGTAGACCTGGTGTGCAGCGAACCAGCCCACCTGGTCACATCCTTCACAAATGGACAGATTGGCCTCTTTAACATGGAGACCCGCCAGCTAGTCCTCAGTCTGGAGTCTGGTTTGGAGCCTGGTAGGTCTAGAGCTGTGGGTGGCAGTGGCTAGACTGGATTTAACCTGAAGCACTGTGTGATAGGGATGGAAACAAACACTGGAAAATTTATCACCAACAGTAGTTTTTAGGGTTTGACTGAAGTGGTTTTTAACAGTAACCGAAGCAGCATTAAGACCACAGAACACTACATTTCTCTACTGGTTTCCAGGCTAGTAATAGCAGAACAATACTGAAGTAGAGAAAGATCAAGGAGCCATCAGAAGTATGGCTCTTTACTAAGATGGAGTGGCATCTGTTGGAAAGGTGTGTGTCTGGTAGTTAAGTCACATCCTCCACAATCTGCACTATTTTTCTTGGATTTGTCTTACAATTTCAAGCTTAGAAATAAGACCTGTAGCTACATACGGTATATCTAAATGTTACTACTCCATTAAGTACCCATGACTTCCTCAGGGTGACATGGTGCCATGCTGGCTGAGCTAGGAGTGAAAGCTAAAGTTAACTTGCTTCACATCCAAACTAATACATACCCACATCAATGTATATACTGTATGTGCTGTATTTGTGTTGTAAACTTGCAGTCACTTCTTTGTGTTGCATAAGGATTGATCCTGCACAAACAGCCATCAGTTAAGCCTGCTTTTTATGTTTGCATGGACTGATTCCTTTCGACTGACTGTACGTACATTTATGTCTGCCTTCGCTCTCCTGCTGGGTGAAGTCTTAATATGTTGATCTGTTTTTAATCAGGCACTCCCTGTCAGATCAATAAGGTCCTCAGCCACCCGACTCTTCCCATCACCATCACTGCGCAGGAGGACAGACACATCAAGTTCTTTGACAACAACAGCGGGAAGTTGATTCACTCCATGGTGGCTCACCTGGATGCTGTCACCAGCTTAGCTGTAGATCCTAATGGACTTTATCTCATGTCTGGCAGTAAGTTCCTCTTCACCGGTGTCCATATGTGTAAACATCTTTGTCTCATAAGAAGTCTGCATCTAAACTTCTCAGAAAATATAAACATTTCAAAATCTTGACAGCTTTATATGCACGATATGCATACGGTGTTTAACAGTAGCAGGTTTGTGTGTTTTTGCAGCAGATGTGAGCTGACTAATTCAGTGACAGTGAACCTAAATGAGTCAGAGAACAAACTTTGTAAAGGGCAATATCACTGAATTTTAAACATTTAGATTGATTATAGTACTTGCATGTACTGGTACAGTTGATCTGATGTAGGCGGGTACTGTACTCATCCATAGCTAAAATAAAGACTGCTGTCCATGCTTGTGCATTGTTCTCCTCTACACTGTAACAACAAAGTACTACTTTGTTTACCTGTAACAGTAAAGTAAAACCATTCAATGAATTGCTTTCCTGAGTTGCATGTGGCTTGTTTCTAAGTCTTTGGAGAAACTGGTTCATTCTCTCTGTTACACAGTTAAACTTGCAGTTGCACTTCCTTTGGATAGTGCATTAAGTTAAATTCTTGAATTGTTGTCTCACTTGTAACTCCTTTCCTCCTCTGCAGGTCATGACTGCTCTATCCGTCTGTGGAACCTGGAGAGTAAAACCTGCATTCAGGAGTTCACAGCTCACAGAAAGAAGTTTGAGGAGTCGATCTACGATGTGGCATTTCATCCGTCTAAATGCTACATCGCCAGCGCCGGGGCAGACGCTCTCGCAAAGGTGTTTGTATGATGCGAAGCTGCGTGCCTCCCTGCAGCCTCCCATCATCAGGGACCAACAGAGACACAGCAGGGGAAGGACCTTCAGGTATGGGTCCAGTCCCACCTCACACAGCCCACTGGTTTCCTGTGGGACTGGCAGACTATGTAGCCACTAGCCTCAATCGGGCCATGACTCTCAATAGAAAGGGTTGGCAAGAGAGGCCAGTTAGGAGGAGAGCTGCTCTCTCTAGTAGTCCCCCAGTGACCATCCAGGCAGGCCTGGGTGTGACCGGCCATAGCGCCCCCACAGACAGACTAAAACTTATCCTCCACAGCTAGGAGGCTCAGGACAAGTGTTAGGAGTGTTGAGTGGAGAAAGGAGGTTTCAGGCCGGTCTTCTGTCCCTCTGACTTCACCCCAAATCCCTCAGGCCCTCAACCTTCCCCCTCAGACAAACTGGGTCCATGGCCCTTCACTCCAGGTTTTGTTGTGTTGTTCCAGAAACGTTGGGTAGACTGAAGGCTTGCTGGAGCTGCTGTGGAAGCATCTTACTTCTCCTTCTCTGCTTCCCAGACTTGACTCTGCTTGCTGGCCTGCCTTTATTTTCTTTTTTTAAAACATGTATTGACAAATGTGCCTTTGCTTTAAAAAGGTCTTGAAAATGTTATTTTAACAAGCTTGTTTTGAGGAATAGGGAGGGAATGACAGCAGAGAATTTGATCTGGGTGTCACAATGTTGTTGATTTTAACATTGGATGTAAAATTACAAATGCTTATAATAAACAAAATATATATTCAGTCTTAAAATCTACTGTGCAGCGTGAGTTTGAGTGCTCCTTTTTGATAAGTGTGGTTGGGGAATCAATTTTGTGCATTTCAAGGCAAAGCTGATAGATAAAGAGCATTATAATGCCTGTTTGTTAGATTCAAGCAATTGTACACTTGAGAAGTAAGACTACAAACATGTGTCCAAAGAAAACCATCATGGTTATATAATTACAATTCAGACTTGGTTCTAGATGTCTGTTTTAGGAATAACTAATTCATTTGGGCCAGTTTGCCCTTGTTTGATTGGAATGGCTTTACTGTCTGTAGTTTCCCCAGTTGTGTGGACATGCTTGACTCCAATGTGATATATCATGTCCAAGTATTTGCAGTAGTCCAGTGTCTAGCAGGAGATTAGTGCAGTACTATAGGACTATTTGAAATAATGGATTTAACCAACACTGCGAATCCCACTTTACTGTAAACTGTGAGGAGGAAACAAACTGGGCTAAAAACAAATCAGTTCAGGTGTTGTACGTGTAGGGTACAGCTTCAGTTGAGCCATTTTCTCAGTCACTGGTTTGTATATGAAAGTATGTTCCAAATAAAATCTGCTGTAAAATGTTATCTGGGGTCTGATGTTGGTCATTTCAGATCAGGGGGGTTTTAACAGATCTAACAGATGAAATTGAGACACTGCCATGGATTTAGTGAGTTGCACTGTGGGTTACAACCTATATCTGTTCACATGATAGCAAATTGGCACCATTACATGTATACTAAACTGGCTATTAGGCATTTTTGTTGGGAATGTGCATGAATGTATACACAACTATCACAGGATTTCTTTGATCGTGAAGAAAACCTGAAAATGCAATAATTTTCAGGCAAGTTCTTAAGTTTCAAGCTTTTGTCTGTGATTTTTAGGCAGATTTGTGGATATTTATTCATAATAGACCTGGTGATATCTTTTAAAAGTGTAAATCTCACAATCTGAAAATATGATTTAGAAGAAAATAGCCACTTTAGGTTCTCTTCATTTTCTTTATTTTATTAAAAATTGGAAAAAGAATATTGACCAGTTATCTAAACATTAGCAAAATGCCTTTAATATGCATATGTACAAACAGGATATAACAGGGAAAAAAGACATAAATACTCTTTAAACAAAACTGAGAAATGCCTGCAAAGTTAGAAGCAACCACACTTGGAGAAAACTGATGAAATGATTTTTTCTGCTTTCACATCCACTTACTGGTTGCACATATGCCTCATTTCGACTACCACTCCACATCATCAGCTATCGTCTGCTTCATAATCTTTTGGAGGAACTTTAACAATGTCCCTGCTAACAAATCTCTCCTATTAGGAAGATCAAAATGCACCAATTCTGAGAAAGGATATCCTCTTTACAGAGAACTGTATAACAAGCACCATTTTATTAAGTTTATATAAAGTATGTTAAGCCATATGAGTAAGTGCTAGGCATGCTTTGAATCTACAATTCTCTGCAAGCACCGTATCCCATTAAGGTAGCTTTATAAGTATGACTCATTTTGTACCACTTGTCAGTAAGGCAGCCTTTATAAAGGTTTAAAAAGCTGTACTTGCAGTACTGTAGCTGCTTTATTAATGTTAATAAATGATTTACTAATGCTTTACTGAAGCTACAGGGATTTATTGTATTATGGCAGGATGTTTAAATGTGGCAAGAGTAGGCACAATAAGCACTGGCCTACACCTTTTCAGTCAATACCATGTTCTGAAGATAACACTAGTTATAGTTGGCAAATATATTTTGCACATGAAAATGTACATGGTCTGAATATGGTTGAACATGGCTGTTTTATTTTATGTTTGTTTGTTTTAAAGACTGAAACTAAACTAAGCTAAGAACAACTTCTCAGTTGCCGAGTAGTGAGAACTCCCTTTGGCTCCCCCAGCTTTTAAAAGCTTGTGCTGTAGGTACAAATTCCACCCATTAAATCTGCAGTTACTAAACACCAAGAAGTTGCTAATGAATGAATTTTATTCCAGATGTTCTGAAGCACTTTTCCAGATGGTGGGAAGTCAAACAGTGAATTAGAGTGGTTTGCACAAACTAAAAATCTACAAAGGCAGGGATATTTCAGAGCCTGGCAACCCAAATGTTGTTCTCATTAATGGTTGATAATTGATCTACAAAGCATTAGTAAATTGTTTATTTTAAAAAAGCAGCTCTTATTTACAGCTCATAAACCCATCATACTGGCTGACTTATTAGAACATATTTTTAATGATTAGGAATACTTTATGGCACCAACAAAGAATACCTGGCGCCACAGTATATATGAAGTGCCCAAATATCACTGTATGCAAACCCTTTACCACCATCTGTATATCTGGGACCAAATACTGCAGCCAATCCAGCACCACCGTCTGGGTGACACAGTGAGTAAATGTACTATCAGTGTCCCTCTCTCACCCTTCTCTCCACCTGTTCAGCCTCAGTTCCTGGGCTGGGAGTTGAACTCCTGGCAGATGTTGTGGATGATCTTGGGCACAAATTTGTAGAGGTTGTCAAACTCATCCACAAAGAAGGAGTGCTCTTTGTCAGGGTCTGTGGCGATGTACTCCAGCTCATCTGGGGCTGCCCAGGCGATGCCAATGGAGTAGGCGATTACACCTGGATCACAAGAGGGAATAGCAAATTACACACACAGGTCTCTTATGTGTCTCATCAAACATCCTGTATGACACATCGCTGTGGACACACACTAGAGGAAACAACTTTGATTCAGGGTCAAAGCCTTTTTCCTGTAAACAAAGTGTTGGAGATAAAAACAAAAATCAAGTTATCATGCATTTTTGAGTTAGTCAGTGAGGATTAAAAAGAACGATCACTGCTTGACCAAAAATTTCTTTATTTTTCAAATTCTGTAGCAGTTGACCTCTCACCTTGACGATGGACAGCCAGTGCGGGTGCCCTGACATCATCATAGGAGCGCCCATCTGTAATGACAATCATGATCTTGCGTTTGTTGGGTTTGGACTTGCTGAAAAGCTGCTCCGCAGCGTAGGTGATGGCGGCACCAGTGCTGGTACCACCGCTCCAGTAGTTGATGTGTTTGATGGCATTCAGGAGCTCGGCCTTATTGTTGTACTGGCCAAAGGCAAACTCCAGCCTCTGCTCATAGGTGTACTGTACAGCTCCGACCCGTGTGTCTGTGTCAGAGATCTCAAACTCCCGCGTGATGTTGGCCACAAACTGAAGCACCGTGCGGAAGTTGCCAGTTCCTACGCTGCTGGAACCGTCAATGACAAAGGCGATGTCATTGGCATTGAGGCATGTTTTGCTGCACACCAGGCGGTCTGTGTCACATACTCTCTTCACCAGTGGCTGCACAGCCTTCCTCAGGGCAAACCAGCTTGCAACAGGCAGGGAGAAGAAGCCGTTTGTCCGACACACAGCCTGTGGGATGAAAGACAGACTGCGTTTCAAACTGGTATGTCCTAATAACCACTAACACACCTCTGTCACAATATTCCACCTTGTCAACGAAGTTGGCCTCAACCAGGTTCTGCTTCTCATTGTCATCAGGGCCCTCAATGGTGACGAAGAATATGTTGATGCCAGACTCCCGAGCGAGGCGAGATGCTTCCTCCACCTTGTCTGTGGGCCAGCCATCCACTAGCACCACAGCCACATTGGGCGCTCCTCCTCGGTTTCCATTGGCATCGCTGAAATAGTGCTTGTTGATGTAGTAGAGGGCCTTTCCTGTCAAGCCACCAGAGGGCAGCAGAGAGAAGGTTACAAAGTCTGTGCTTAAAATGCTGGCAGACATTCAGGAAGGCGAGATGAAGGATTGGAGCCAATCTGTTCTTCACAAGCTGTAACATATGACTAGAATAACTCTTGAAAAAAATTAACTATTCAAGTGCTGATTATATACAGTCTAGTTTGTACACAGAAATACACTCATATCTATATAAAGTGCATTACTTTAACTATATTACCACAAAAATAGTGATATCCTGTTATTTAGCCTGTCATAGGATGGTTGGTGGTGTAAAGGTTGGCCGAGCAGGAGAAGCTGTTTTGTTGTATGATTAGAGAGCGCCTCTGGTCAAACACAAAAAAAATACTATTATGATGCAATATTTAGCATGTTATGAAGACATTTGCGTGCTAATGAATCAAACCAAAGCAAACCAGAAACCACACTTGTACTCTGAAAGTTGATCCTCGTTAGCTGGTAAAACCAACTGCTTTTTGGTCAGACCTCAGGACAAACACAGCTTACAGAACAAGGACTGTAATTTAGCGAACGGTCTGATTTGCATCTGATTTAGATTTTATTCTATCTTTGCATGTTAAAATGTGCCTGGATAGTAAACCATGTGATAATTGCCCCCCTTTCTCTTTCAGACTTATGTTTGTAAGCTTCTTCTGTGGCTGGCAGCAGGTCACTCACCCACATTGGAGAGGCCCCCCTTCTGCACAATCTTATCTATGGCTGACTTCACCTCTCTGGAGTTGGAGTAAGTCTTCAGATTGATCTCTGTCACAGGGTCATCCCTTCAGAAAAAACAACCAATCACATTATTTTTTCTTATTAAAAAGGTGTATAATAATACAACAAGAACAATGAAGTTACCCGTATTGAATGATGCCCATCATGGGCCCAGCCACACCCACGCTGATGGCCTGAGCTACCTCAGCTAGGAACTCCTTCTGGATCTTAAAGCGTCGCTTCCCAATGCTCCAGCTCCCATCCATCAGGAAGGCCAGGTCCACCTTACAATCTGCAAAAGTTCATGCCACAAGGTTACAGCAGTTAGTAGCATCGTTGGTACTACACCTGTTGTTAGCTAAAGTCCCATTTTGTAAAAATGTTCAACTTCGCACTTGAACTGAACAGTTTTTAGCAGGATCGTGAAAGAAATATATGGACATACTCTGATCTCCCTGTAACACAGGCTCGGGTGTTCTGGGTACAGGTTCCTGCTCCCCCAAGCTGAAGCCTGAAAATCAGGAAGCATAAATCTTCAAAAGAGATTTTAGCTAAAATCTACTCTAGACATTTTACTGCAAAAAAGATATTTCCATATATTTCACTGGAATTTTTGTGTCTGGACTTTTTTTGTGGCTTTTGTATGGAATAGTGCAAAGACATTTCAATTGGCAGTCATTACCTTCCCACCATTCAGGACAATTCAAACATCCAGTATGTTGTCATGAAAATATATCCTCTTAAATTTTTTACTCTTCCCCTGAAGCATGAGAAAATGTCAAGGCATATTTTTAGCTGCTCACTTTCCACAGATCCCAAACACTAACCAGTACTTGTTGTGGCAAAAATTATGTCGAACAGGAACTGAGTTTATCCGCCAGCAACCATACCATTTGACTTTGACTCCAAATCCCTTCAATTACAGGCTGAGCAGAAACCCAGATGATTTTCTTTGTATAGCCTCAGTTTGGTTTGTACTTACAGTCAGAAATGAGGAAAGCTATTCTTTTAGGAGCAGAAAGAGGTGCACTGTGCAGTGCGAGCGATCTTACCTGATTCATACAGGCTTATGTCTGCCTTCCAGCCATCCACTGGTTCCACTGCACAGATAATATCATATTTATAATATTATATCTGTGAGTTATACTCAAAAAGCAAAGCAGCTGTTAGAAAAATCTCACAATGTATTGAATAGAAGAGGAAGTGACAGAAAAGGTACCAAGGCTTTATTGATGTTATATGATGTGTCTAAGGTGATGCCACTGTGGATACAAAGAAGTGTTTGTAGCCATGGCAACCACTACTCACCTCTAGTATGGGTTGTATCCAGTGGCATCCTGTGATTGCCATCTGAGTCAGTGGACCGCGATGCTAAAAGTAAAGACATTATCACTGATGACAGACTGTGCCACAGGATGCATGTGAAACAAATGTAAACATGTATTACAGCCTGCTCCATGGTTTGTTTGGTTGGATGTGTGGTGGTATTTTTGTAGTATGTGCTGGGAATGGCTCAGCCACTCGGTATTCCAAACCATGTCCCTTCTACTTGGATGTGGAGGCTCAGCTGTGTCACCATAGGGCCTATAATCTGACAGTAAGGCTTTCTTGTGGGAAGTTGTATGAAGAGTTATGTCACTGAGAGAATACAGTCAAACAGGTTTTACAGAATGGAAATATAAAACCTGAACTCCTATACTTGTTAGTCTTCAGGAAATAGAACAGAAAAACACTTGCAGTACAATCCACAGTTATAATACCAGCGCTCATACTCTGAGGTATCACGCCTGTGATCCTGAGCTAGAGGAGGATGTTTTTAAACCCGTTAGTATGCCCACCGTGAACTTCTGAGAAAAAAAAGCACACATTTCCAAGGTTGTGATTGGACACATATTCTCCAAACCAATCCCAGGCAAGTGAAAAGAAAGGCTTTGTGTAGAAATATCACCTCGCATGCACAAATATTAAACTTACTCTCTGCTCCTTTTTTTCCACAAGTTTCTCATATGGCAGGCAGATGGCATATACAGTAAACACAATGTCCTGAGACACACATTGCACACATACTTACAGATGGAGTCAATTCAACAGATGCCCAGCTATATCAGTCTCACAAACATGCACATGCAGATTATATGGACTGAAAGTGCAGCAACCTTCCATGGTGAATCTGGGCAGTAATGATCATGTTGTGCTGTCTTTAGAGGGAGGTTGACATACCTGTAATCTCAGGTGTGTCTCTCTCACTCCATGTGTATCCTGAGTCTGGAACTGCATAACTAACATCTGAATGCACACCAGACAAGGTGGAAGTATCAGCAACCAATGACAATCACATCAGCCTCTGCTGCACTTTCTTTTTGGTGCTAATTAGCAAATGTTAGCATGCTAACAGCAAACTAAGAGGGTGAACATATAGAATTATACAGTACCTGGGTGTTAGCACCATGGATGCATTAATATAACACACAACCCTTGTCATGCATTCTTGCAGTTTCTTGTTCGGTGGTAAGTGTATTCACTTCCTGTTTACTGTGCCTGGACTATGTGGCGTGTGCTACCAGATAGTTTATGGATTAAGCTCACCGATTTCTAGGTTTATCTGAACATCTACTAATTTTTGAGTCATAACATACCTGCACTACCTATACACCTGTGTTACAGAATATCTAGCTAATTTCCAAATTTGACTTGCTACTTTAGGTCAGCTAGCCTAGAAGCTGGGCTAAGCTAGAGAGAGAGCGATTAACCTCCTCCTTTCTCTTGCTCAGAGTGCCGCATGTTCAGTTATTCCTCTGTCTCCTTTAGTGATAATGGTACTTGTAATAAATGTCAAAGTTTATTTTACAAACTAAATTATGACAACCCAGAGTTGAGACCAGGACGCAGGGTCGCAGTCTTACACAACTCTCTGCAGTCTCTTTGCAGCTGCTACCCACCCAAAACTCCCAGTACCCCATAAAGACTGTGTCTGCCCCCCCAACCACCTAAATGATATAAATCAAAGATCACCTCAAGAGGAGTTATTCAAGGAACCTAATTAATATTAAGATGACTCTTGTTATAGAACAAAATAACAGGACAATCACATGTGGACTAATAAATATCAGATATCTCTTGTCTAAATCTCATCACACTGATTTACTGTGTCTTACTGAAACCTGGTTACGGCAGGAAGAATGTGTCTAAATGAATCCACCCCACCTGGTCACAGTTAACTATCAACCCTAGATTGATTAATAAGCTTGAAACTATTAAACTAATAGGCTTGAAACTATTAAGTGTCCAGTTTCGATGCCTTAGGTCAGAACAAGATCAGGGGTGTGATTAAAACAGTGAGTGGGTTTATTTACAGTTTGAGAAAAGCCAATTGAGTCTAATAACGAATTGAATGCACTGCCAAGGCTGTCATTGTCAGCATCCACATGAATATTAAAGTCACCCATTATGATTATTTTATCTGTACTAAACACTAAATCAGACAGAATTCAGTTAAAAACTCTAAATAAGGGGCAGGTGGACAGTATACAATAAATAGAAGTGGCTTTTGAATTTTACAGTTTGGGTGTGAGAGATTCAGAGTGAGGCTTTCAAATGAGTTATAACTCATTCAAAATCTCTTTAGCACATCCATGTTGTGAACATTAGCGTACTGACATTAGTATTTAGCTCAAAGTAAAGCCTTACAGAGCCACAAGCACAGCTTTAGAGCCTTGTTTTGACAGATGACGATGAGTTAATACAGTCTAGTTTAATCAAACTTCAGCCACATTTAACTCTTGACACCTTCTAGTTTGTTTAAAATCATGAATGACCAAAGATAAGTTATGTTCATTTATGTGCAACATGAAATGTATAATTGCAAACCTTCAAAGTAACTCTTCTGTTTGTCTTACCTTAGTATGTTTGAACATTGATTAAAGCATTTAAATTACAATATAGTTATGAATTGTTAAAGTAGGATGAACAATACTCTGGTACCTGCTGGTTGTCTCCCTCCTGGGAACCAATCAGGATGAGGATAGGAGGGGGGTGTCCAATCCCGTCTGGGTAAAGCTGTGCAGGAGAAGTTCAGAAAGCTGCATTCAGGATAATTTTCAAGGAGAAGTGTACGCAGTAGTCAATCAGAGAGACAGTGGATGAAAGGTTGCTTTAGTGAAGCTGAATCTTGAATAGTGATAGATGTTGTGTTTCTCATTCTTCTGTTTTCTGGCATCAGTATTTGTTCACACAGAATCAAAGATTTAACTTAAAATGTCATGCAAATTCTTGCATAGATAATAATTCAAGCCCAAACAGCTTAGCAAAACCATAACAGTGCATGACATGAGTCTAAACTTGGAGAGTCATGACAACACACTTCACTTAACCCCTCCCTGCTGAAGATGGACACCTTACACAAACACATAGCCAGCAGGGCCTTTGTTTAACAGCCTGCCACCCAGTAAAGCATGGGAATATTATTCTAAAGTTTGGGTCAAACCAGGGACAGTGTAGATAGTAGGATTAGCCTAATCTGCTGCTGGTCAAATGCCCAGCATTGTACAGCAGACATGTGTTGTTTTTTCTGATGAAACAGGTGCTTTACTTTCTCTATCACAGCCACTTCAGTGATCACTGCAGCCAAAAGGTCAGAGTGGGGTCAGTTATACTGACTTTCATCTTGAGTTGTCATTCTCTCTAAAATATACCTTTAGGAGAGCTCATAATATGCATGTTTCCTGGAAAGTCATAAACCAAATTTGCTTTTTAACACGACACAGAAACCTAGCAAACTGAATCCTCACCTTTGACTGAGGATTTACATGAATCTACACGGTTGTCAAATGGGCATATTTCATCAAGAACATGAGGCTAAACTAGATCGTAACATTTTCCGAAAGCTGAGCAATAACCCGGAACACCTGTTTGCTGGCAAACAACTGGGGAGGAAAAACCTTCAACTCGTAAATCAGAGTTCAAAACTCTGGCATTGGCAAGTATTCATTCTGCTGGAGTGACCTTGAGAAAGACATTGATTTGCTTCAGGCCCCAGGGGTGCTTCTGTGTAGCTGATCCTGACCTCTGACCTCAAGCATAAAGAATTTCCCTGAGGGGATCAATAAAGCATCAAATTATTATCTACAGGTTGCAGATCTGAATAGCTGCTCTCTGCACTGATCAGACCTTTCTGACACATACCTGAACAGCAGCAGTGTAATCAGACAAATAACACAGTAGCTCGAAACAGCTCACACTGTCATTTAGGAATTCCATCATACAATCAGCCATCATTTAAATGGATATAATCCTGTCCTATTTTAAGGATCCGTGGTTTTGCATTCCACTGAAGAGCACTACTCATTGTGCCAAACCTCAACTGGTTTGAAAGGCGAGAGCTTTCTATTCTTGACAGGCAGCAGAGCTGACCCAGACCCTGCTGCCCCGTGGATTGGGTCATGCGTCTCACGGGAAGCAACACTGGCTCACTTGATGCTGCTGCTTTCATCTCTTGCTCCCTCTTTGCAAGCATTTGCAAGGGAGGGGAAGAGGCCAGACCAGATAGGACCTGGAATAAGATGCTATTATAGCAGTGACTGAGCACGTTTCTCATTGTGGCCTTATCTAAAAGAGACAGCTGAGAGTTTGCTGCTGTCTCAGACAGAAAGATATGGCACAAGAAGAATTCATGACACTTTCATCAAGTCAGTGCTTGTCTTCGAGGTATATTGACATACTCATGTTTCCATGCTGGGTTTTGTAAAAATCTGAGAATCTGCTTGTATTTCCGCCCATTGTTTATAGAGAACCAGCCATGCCCTGAACCGCAGCATCCCACAGAAGGTCAACATTAGCACTGCTTTAAAAACATTTCAACCAGAGTTTTATTGCCCTAGTCATGCCCCTGTGTGATCAGACCTGTCTACTTCTCTACAACTGTGAATGTGTCTGCTTGTGCAGTCTGAGGACTCCCACTCTGGGTCTGGAGATACTCACCAGGGTTGGACTGGCTCATGGTCTGAGTCCGCTCGGGTGCGGCTGGCTGAACCCTGTTAAAAACTGTATGTAGCAATGAGAAACAGGCAGATATAAATACAGAAGAGAAGCAGAGTAGAAGAGAGCTTCAGGCCTGGGGCTCCATCCACAAATGCAGCCCAGCTGTTTTATTTTGAGTGGAGCTGAAGGAATTTTTTTCTCAGCATGATATAAAAAAAATAAAAGGATATATGCTGGGTGTGTTTACAGGCTTTAGCTCAGCTTCATTTGCCTCTTTTCATCTCTAAAAATGAAAACATGAATAAAAGGATGTGTCTGATGACAAAGAACAGCGGGTATTGTGAAAGGAATGTCAGCTAGGATGCTTGATAGTGGACTGATTAGTGATGACCCTGGGGGTGAAGGTTACAGGTGCTTATGGCCACAAGAGTCAGACTTATAGCATCTACATCTCCTGGAGATGTAGATGCTATAAGTCTGGAGTTCCAACAAAGACATGCATTACCCCCTGCTGCCCTTGACCCACATTCCCTGTCAGTCCCTCCTTGTGTACCTGTTTGTCACTCAGTGCATGTGTGTGTGTTAATGATGAGGCTGACCTGGGCCAACTGGAGAGGATGGTTGTCTCCTGCTAGCTGACCCTGCGTCTGGTCTGCGCAGACCTGGAACCAAAATTGGGAAACAATGATATGAAATAACACTAAACATCTTAATCTGCTGATAGTTAAAGGCTAATATGTTAGCTATTGTAGACTGATTTGGTGACCAAGCAGGCAAAATGATCATTGTCTTAGACTAGTGCTAATAGTTCTAAAGTACAACCCCAAATCAGAAAAAGTTGGGACTATATGTAAAATCAAAATTAAAACTGAAAATAGTGATTTGTAAATCATATGTGCCTCGTACTGAAAACAATACAGCAGCACACTATTTGATGTTATACCCCATCAATTTTATTTTGTTCAAAATAAACAAACACTCACTTTAATCCTGATGTGAAAAGTATTGGGACAGTAAAACATTTACCACGGTGTGATGTTGCCGTTCCTTTTCACAACACATGAAAAGACGTTTATGGAATGAGGACACCAAGTGATTAAATGTGTCAGGTGTCATTCTTACAGCAAACAAGTCTTAAGGTGCACAACAGTCCTGGGTCTTCGTTGACATAATTTGCATTTCAAAATTTGACACACACTGCAGGCAGGCTAGTCCAGCACTAACACCCTTTTCCTCCTCACCCATGTCTTGGTAATGTGTACAGTATGAAGTTTTGCATTGTCTTGTATAAATATACATGGGTGTCCCTCGAAAAGATGTCATCTTGAAGGCAGCATGTGTTGCTCCAAAATCTCTGTGTATTTCTCAGCATTAATGGAGCCATCACAGAAGTGTAACCTTTGCCAAGGGCACTGACAGGACCCCAGACCATGACCCACCCTGGCTTTTGGACTTGTTGCTGGTAACAGTCTGGATGGTCCTTTTAATCTTTGGTCTGGAGCACACGGTGTTCATTCCTTTTTTATTGTAGTGCCTGACACAGGTGTGCCAAAGTAATCCTGAGCCCATGTGGTTATATCCCTTATAGAAGAGTGACAGCTCCTGATGCAGCGCCATCTGAGGGATCTGAGAGCATGGTCATCCATCTTAGGCTTGAGCTCTTGCCCTTTATGCACTGAAATCCCTCCAGATTCCTGGAATCTTTTAATTTTGTTATGCACTGTAGAGGGTGACATATCCAAATCCCTTCCTATCTTTCTTTGAAGAACATTGTTTTTAAACATTTCAATAATTTTCTCATGCATATGCTGGCAAACTGGTGGCTTTGGATGGATTTACTGTAAATTTGGTTCAAAAATTAATGGTGTCCTGAGGGTATATCCTGATGACTCTAGTTTTCATCTAGTGCCACCATCAGGTCAGAATTTTAATTTGGCTGGTACTTTATGACCAAATATAAACTAATGGCATTCCTATCAGCCTCAGCTCTAAATTGTTTTTGGTATTAAATGTTAGCATGCTTAGAACATTGACTAAAAGTAGGTCAACTAGAGTTCCCTCTTCACAGTTATGTCCCTCTGCCAACCAGTCAGATTCACATGAATGGGACAGATGTGAGGTCACAGTGACCTTAACCTTTGACCACCCAAAAGTTCGTCCTTGATTCCAAGCAGACATTTGTGCCAAAATTTATGGAAACTCCCTCAAGATATCACGTTCACAAGAATGGGCTGACCGGATGGACGGACAACCCGAAAACATTGTCACTGAAACGTTAAATAATGAGACAGGAGTAATCAGGGCTTACTAATACAGAGTAAATATAGAGGAGTTGAATCTGACTGAGTGCTGTTTTATTTGAAAGACAACAATACAGGAAATGGGCTTCCCCAAAACATTCTGGTTTGGCCCTCTGTTAGCAGACTAGTAAAAGTATTTTAAAGCAGCTGTACACACAGAGAACAGATGCCATGCAGAGCTTATGTATATCAATACAGACCAAAAAGAAAGAAAGCAAGGAAAGACAGAGCAAAGGTGGAGGCCATTTCTACCAAAGGTAGAATGAAACAAACCAAAAGAAGATTAAAGTTTGATTTACCTGCGTTGGCACGCAGTGGGAATCGACTGGGATAGGAAGCTCCTCGGAATACTTTGAAGAAATGCCATGGTTTAGTTAAACTTGAATTGTTTTATGTGGTGTAAAGGGCTTTCCAAGAGGTGCAGGATCAGTGATAGTACCGACATACCTTGGCTGGGAATCTTTCCTTGACCATTATGGGACTGTCCTACACCAATAACAGAATGTGGGCAAATTTAGATAAAAAAAAAAATCTTTGGTTACAAGTAGATTATCTAGAAATATAGCAAATTCTACATAGTTTGTTTTTAGTATGAACCTATAACCCAGGGCACAGCCCTATTGTTTTACGTTTTTGGCTTAAAACAGGTGAACAGGACTGATTTCACATACTAAATACACAAGTTATCCCACTGATAAAGACTAACTTGCTTTAAAAACAAAGCCGCCAGTTCCTTTAACATAGAATAAATGATAAATCCCAATATCCACAATTTCTAGAAGACTTGTGTGAAGCAACACCCCATGCTTGGTGTGCACACATATTCCTACAACACCACCGCTCTGACTCATGCAACCAAGATTAAAAATAAAGAAATAACCCACAGTGTTGACCCGTTACTTTGCTTCACTTACTTGAACTCGCGGCTGCCACAGAGGCAAGGTACGGGTGACTGCTGCCTAGATAGAAGAAAGACAGATGTGGTGCCAATATGGAGTGGAGTGGAGAGAGATAATGTTACAGAGATGTCTGGGAGGTCGTGGGGCACACAGCCCATCTCATTTACACACATACCTTCAGATACTGCAGCATTGTCTACTCAGTGTATCTGCATTTCTAGCCAAAATGAGGCAGATGACTCAAAGCGATTACCGTCTGATAATGTTTTCATTTAATAAGAGTGATGAAAGGTCTGGTGATCAAGTGTACAGTTAAGTCAGTCAGTCAAGCATATGAGCAGCACTACACAAACTTCATCACTGACCAGCTGTAATTTGTTGTAATTGAAGCTGTGACTTGTAATTACCAGCCACAATCATTCATCTTCATCACTCAGTTTAACACAAATGAAAACTTGTTCTGGCAAAAAGAGAGATTCTAGTTACAAGCTGCTACTGTTAGTTTTACATGTGCTAGGGCGGCACACTAGCTGCGATGGATCATCTGTGTGGATTGGTTTTACTGGATCATTAAGAGCATCCTGCATCCAAATAAATACACAATCCGCCACATCACATACACAGATCCATTGATTCATAAGAAAGAATTCACTTTTTGTACATGTATGCATCCAAGTGTGTTTGTTTAAATCACCTGCAGCCCTGACTTTATGCGCAGCAGTTCGAGCCTTGGCAGTGGTGGGTGGTGGCAGAGGTGTAGTGGTTGTAGGAGCCGGGGTAGTGGTGGTGGTAGTGGGTTCAGGAGTTGTAGTTGTGGTGGGTGCTGTTGTCACTGGCAGCACTGTGGTGACCGCAGTGTATTTGTCCTCCATCTGACCTGTGAGGAGATGGGTGGATGAAGACGGATGTATACAAGATGGATGGAGAGGAAGAGCCTCTACGGAATCACTGCGTTGTAATACATTCTTGACATTCTTCACCAGACTACAGTGCTCAGACTCCTCACTCAACCTGAGTGAAGTTCAACATGCCAGAGTCAAGAGCAGAGACATCAATGTATTAATCTTTTGTTCTCAGAAAGCTCTGATCTGGTGATTTGTACACTAAAAGTCATCTAGATAGCATTTCAGTGGCTATATTGCAATGTGAAACAAGTCCTAATTACATGCTGAAATGTAATGAACAGATAGAGAACAGTATATGTAATCTAGACATCTTTTACCTGTTTAACCAACATTTTCTCAGTATCTATACCAAGATTTATAGATGTCTCTTGAATTGCAACTTAATACTCTGTGCACATAATGGATCTACGTCAGTGTTTTAGTGTTGTGAAACACTGCGTATCCGTCAATGCCCCAAATGACAAAATTAATCTAATGCACTTAAATTCATATTTACATAAATGATGTATGATGTGTATTAAAAACTCTCTCCTCTCACTTGTCTTCACATAGGTTGGTCTTGACGGGACATAGTCCAGAGTAGATGGGTAGATCACTCCTTTCTTGGGCTTTCCCACTGAAACACACCAGAGTCAGCTGTTGGCTGGAGGGCTAATTCTGAAGAACTGTGTTGATCATTGTTAACTTCATCATTAATACCTGAGACAACAAATGACTCCCTCCACTTAGGCAAAGACAGAGAGCGCACCCCGTTGGAATTGCTGCCTTTGTAGGTGTCTTGCCCGGCCATCTTCCTCACTATCACCTTTCCTCCTGTGTCAGTGATGACGCCACTGTAGACAGTTTTCATCAGATATAACAGTTAAACAGTTGTTTTGACTGATGACACACAGGTTTATTTTGCATTCATCACTCCACTGGTAACCTGTGGATGGCTGCGTTGCAGATGCTGGAGATGGACGCGAACACGTCCGTCCCATAGACTTTCTGCTTCGTCTCCTTACAATGTGCAGGACATTTGACTATGAACTCTGGGAGGTTGATCTTTCCTGCTCTGACATCGCACTCTATGTCTGGAACAACTGTGGAGGGAAGAGGTAGTGGAGCATGATGGTTCATGACAGGACGAGTCAAGACTGTCTTTCAGATGTTGAGGTCTTATACAACCATTATTTCGACAGCATTTCAATTAAATTGGAAACAATTAGTAGATTAATTGATTAGCCAATTGACAAAACAATCTACCATTATCTTGCTAATAAAATAATTGTGAAAGTTGTTTTCTAAACAAAGTGCAGAGTGTGGACACTCCTCAAATGTAGGTTTTGTTGCTTTTCTTTGAGTTATGTGATAAATAAATTAATATACAAATAGTTCATCAGATAAAACAATTTGATAAAGATTATATCTGTTTGTGGCCAAGAAATATTGCAAGCTTTTGCACTATGAAGTGATTTTCTGAATGAGAGCTGACTGCAGGGGAGACAGTAACACTGGGACTGACGGAGATTAGAGACTTGCTTGTCGATGATGTCTACCTTGCTTTGGTTTCTTGTTCTTTGATCCGTTAGGCTTTGCCCAGCAGCCACAAGGCAGGAGGAGCGCTGTGGGCGAGGCAGAGGCAGTTTTACATGATAGCAGACTAAGTAAAATAATCATCAGTGTGTTTACTGTATACATAAGACCTTTATCATCAGCAATGCTGCTGTTTGATGGTGTTAATGTTCAGAAAACTTTAACAACACTCAGAATATTTTGGAAATATGAAACACTGTAGACCAGGATGATATATTTAAACCAGCGTACTCCTGCGGAGAGACAAACGGGTTGCTCACCGAAGCAAATGGCAGTGAGTAATACTCTGATCATGATGGATGATGCGCTGGTCAGCAGGTCAGCTAGATGTCCTTGTATAACCTTCCAACCTTAGAGAGATAGAGAAGAGAGACAGCAGAACATCACTGTCCTCTGAAACCCACTTCCTGATTCCTGCTTACACACTGAAAGTAACTTTAGTCAACATTTGTGAGTGCGACAAGTGTTGCAGTGCCCTCTGGAAACAACACATAGTAAGAATGTGGTGGCATGGAGATAGCCCGTGCAGAGAGTTTGGGTTAAATAGCAGACTTGGGACTAGCGCTACACAAAGAATTGAGAGACTATTAAAGCTATTGTGACCAATAAAATACTTTGAACACATTTATTACACATTTATTTATTATTGAGTTGGGTTGATTCACCTACTTAAAAAATCTGTTAAATGTAATAAGGGTTTTACTCCAGCATTGTTTCTTGTTCCAACTGTTATAAAAGGCTGTGAAAATAAGCAGAAGCCTCAGTGCGAACATCTGGGCTCTGAGATAAACTGTACATTATGTAAAAGTCCTCCCAGTTAGAGAGCACACGCTGGCATAATTTAATGTCTGAGGAATGGAGAACTGTGTTTGATCATATGCCCTCTTTGTTTGACATCAACAGCCGCATGAAGCTGGATTCCAGTTTAAAATACTGTTCAGTCTGTTTACAGTAAACACAGAAAATGTATTTCTGCCTGTAATTGAAATTGAATCGTTATACCCATGTAAAGACATAAATCAAAGTCAAAGCCTGTGTTAGCGAGAACAAGACATCATTCCTGAACAGCACAGTCTGAGCTAAGCCAGAGAAAGTCTTCACAGGCTGGAGGATGATCTACAAATGAAAGCAACCCCAGTTCCTGCTGTGCTGCTGAGACAGTGGAATGGAGCTCCTTACTGGGAAGGTGATGAATGAGGCCTCCCTGTAACAGAAGAATGCAAACCTCCCACGAGGGTGGCATTATTTCTGTCACTGCTGCCACACACCAGCAGGTTGAATCTGGTCAAGTAGGAACACATGGTCATACAAACTCTGAGGCAGGGTCAGATGTGATGCAGTTCATACTGACATGTAAAAAATATTGTACACTTGTTTTATCCATGAGGAGGATTTATGACTAGAAGGTGGACAGCTATTTTTTCAGCTACTAGGGTGCCCTGGAGCAAGACCTTTAACCTCTATCTCCTTCAGTCAGCTGCTCAGTGGCCGACAGATCACACATTTTGACCATTTTGGTTTCATCAAATGTAACTGGTCACTTAGTGGTACACAAAGTGGGCAGTAACAGGAAAACACTCACATTTTCTCCAAACTGAATTCTGTTTCCCGGCACAAACTTAACCACAGAAACAGATAAAGTAAAATAATTTGTCAATACAGTTTACTCATTTTCTTACTTAAAGTTAGATGAGACGATTGACGCCACTCTCATGTTTTACAGTAAATATGAAGCTACATCCAGCATAAAATTATCAGCCCACCTTATCATGAAGACTGGAAACAGGGAGAAGCTGTTAGCCACCTCCAAAGTAACAAAATCCTTGGTGTGTTGGAGTGGTTGCCCACTAACCTGAGCCAAGACTCCGGAGCCATGCTAGCTGTTTCCCTGTGTTTCCAGTCTTTACAATAAACTAGAGTAAATTCCCACACTCAATATGAAGCTGGCTTCACATTTAATGTACAGACATGAGAGTGGTATCAGTCATTTCTTTTGATTCTCTGCAAGAAAAAGAAAAGCTTTTCCCTAAAATGTCAAACTATTCCTTTAAACTCAAGAATGAATCCCCAGCTGAAACAACAGCATCCTGCACTGCTTCCTTTACCACACTGGTGTAACGTATCAGTCCTGCCACTCTAGAAAACACAAGTGTCATGATTATTAGGTGTTACCTCTACCAACCATTTCCATGCACAGTTTTATATTGTAGCTTCTTAACACTGCCAACATATTATGTTAAGGTAAGTCCTAATACAGCTGCAGTTGGCAGTGATAGAGCTTTCTGCAATGCAGCCCAACATTTTTTTAACAATCATGAGCACTGACATGATTTTTCCACAGTTCTGTGCTTTGACAGGCAGGTAGAGCACTGCTGCACAGTCAGAACTACAATTTTGTCCTTGCGGGGGAAGAAAGCTGAGGCTGGGAACAAGCCAGGACAGAAATGCACATCTACAGTACAGGAGACCGACCTGCAGCATGGGAGAGGTGAGTCAGCATGCGTCACTGGATATAACCAGGTACCAAGTGGATCTGTCATATACATGTGAACTGTAAGCATTCTAGAGGAAGACTTCATTTACAACTGTCTTCCTCTGAAGAGTCCTTTTGCAAAAGACATGACATTGTTGTAGGAAAAAATGAAATGTGAAAAAATGACAATAATTTGAGACCTTTTAATTTGTGTTCTCGGTGCCAGCCTCTAAAAGCCTCCTCCAGGCAACGAAATGCAGGGCAAATGATATCCCTTGACAAACACTGGGGAGTTTCCTGTACAGCAGATAATACTATAGAGACTTGGGGGGAACTTGTAGATTCACACACACACACACACACACACATTTTTGGCACTTAGCAGGTCTTTTACATTGACTTACATTCATTTCCTGGAACCTTAAACATAACCACTACTTTCCTAATCTTACCATAACCTTAATAAAACAAACAAACAGAGATCTGGGATAACTTAGCACATGCTCAGATAGCTTTGAAGCATGCCACAGTACTCTGGGACTCATCACTTACCAGGGTGGGTTTCATACTTTGCAGGTGTTGTACTGTATATTTTGCATACACCTGTATTAAACTTAAAATAAGCCATGGGTTATATCTGTAGCACAGCTTCAGCTCGCCTCTGTGGTCATATCAGTTACATTCGCCACCATACTGAGCATCTAATTTCAGCTGGGTGGGGACTCAAATCAAACAAACTGTCCACATGGTGACGATTAACTATGAGAAACTATATAAAAACAAGCAAAGTGAATTTCACTATAACACTGCAAAAGATGAAAGGGGTCCTGGGTAGCTGTAGAAAACCCAGCAGCTCAGACAGGTCCCATAGTTTTAGGAATCAAAGGACACAGTTCAGTATAAATTTCTCATTACACTGTGGATTACATGCACAGCTCAACACAAGGCCAAGCTTTTTTCACAAAGCCTATTGCACTGCTGTTGCAGTGGCACTAACAGTTTAATGTCCTGCTGGCAAAGCTATGTCTAACGTTGATGCATTAGCAGCAGCAATCTGATAATGCATCACATAAAGCACACCTGGCTGCGACTGCAACAAGGCTACTAAAAGAAACAGGCTTATTTGAGCATCACAACCAGCTGAGAACTTTGTTTTACCATGTCTCTGATTGATGGCATGCCTGAAGTGAGACAGTATTTATACACACCCAGTGCCAGCATTCAAAGGTGTCAGAATAACTGTACTGTTAGCACGTCAGATGTGCCAAGTGCTGTGGCAACATGCCAGCTAAAGAAAGACAGGAGAGATCCGACACACAGGAAAGCTAACATGTCTCTACAAGGTCATTTCTGTAGCCATTTTGCGCTGCTGCTCTATTTATTTACCGAGCGCTAAACATTCTGAATTACTTCAGTTCTTGGCACCAGTATTAGTGCAAGCCACAGCTTGTAGAGTGCGGCTGGACATATTATATAGAGGCCACCTGTGCTTCACTGGGCTCCTTCAAAACACACAGAAATCTCACACATAATGTTTTCTACGCTGGCAAAAAGGAGTCATTTGAAAATAATCGGTATCGCAACAAAGCTGGATAATTTTTCCTCAAATCACATTGTTAAATCAGACGCAGGCTACACTATGAATGAATAATTATTTTTCACTCAGCTAAAAACTTCACCTAAGGAAACGGGTGTTTACTAAAAAAAGGAGAACAGAAAGTTAAACACAACCTGAATATAATCAACCCGTGCGCCACTTGGATGATCTGTCAACTCCTCCAAGCTCCACTGAAATGAATCAGTCATAAATTACAAAGGAAAAAGATTAATAACATTTTTAAACGCAAAGAAAACCTCCTGCAGTGTTGATTAAAATTCCCCACAGACCTGATTATTAAGTGCGCTTTGACGCAAAGGGCATCAACTGTGCGCACGAAGTATTTAAAACACTAAATCCCAAATTCACACGTGGAGCCATTTTCTCTTCAAAATCCTCATCTCCGCAGAGCACTGAATTTACCTGTGAAGGAAAAATAATCCTCCAGGCGTTAGAAGAAAGAATTTCTTGCGCAATTTCCCCCCGAATCCTTACAGTTTCATTGAAAAGCAGTTTGGACCAGCGGGTGTGTTTGTGAGCGCTGAACGACTCCACCTGGACTTTTACTCCTGCGTAATCGGAGGGTTTATTAAAGTGGAGAACGGGACGGGGCCAGAGTCGCCCTGTTTGTCCGTCCCACTTCAGGCTCCCAGCTCTTCACCCAGAGAGAAGAGGATCAGTAACCAGGAGGAGAGGATGCAAGGAGCTGGCAGCATTAAGTGCAAGCATCTTTTTGTATGTCTGACAAAAGCAACACGTATTTTAATAGTTTTAGTGGAAGAATGCCTTCACACTGGCATTTTAAGCTACACCTTATTCGTCGTGAAAGGCAGGAGCTGTGACTCTGACTGTCTGTTCTACAGCTCTCATCCAATGACTGGTGTCAATTTACACCAGAGCACCAGAGCAATCACTCCTCCTCCACCGAATAAACCAATCAACACCTGTTTGGGAAACAGACACCTGAAGTCACATCCATTGCCACTTTGGGTTTGTGGCTTTTGTTTGCTATTGGGGTCTACAGTACATGTGCACCCTCCGTACACACGCAGCACACACACACCACAGGATGTTGGTTTATGCATGTTGGCACACAAACCGCTGCTATTATGAACTATAGATGATAGTGCTGAAGCTGCCTGCTGTTTTGACTTAAAGGTCTTAACAGCTGGCTGCTCTAAAAGAGCTCATTGTGTGTGTGATTGTGATCTTTGCAGAAACCACCTCAGGAACCCTTTCAACATTAAACCTTAATGACTCAGGTAAATAATTATACATTGATGTTGCTAGAAAAAAAAGCTTAGAAGAAAGATTACGATCTATTTCAGGGTGGCTGATTTTACTTTCAACAGTGTCATTAATCTGAAAGTTTAAGAAAGTTGTCCACCATACCCATAGATCACCGGAAAAGGTTCCACAGTTTTCTGCGCTTCCTTTGCTCTGACCTGCTTTTAGCTGACTGACATGATAATGTGTGAGTAGATAGAGATGTATAATCTATGTGCAGATGGTATTTCAAAGTGCAGAGTCTGGCATCTTTTGGGGAATGTAGGATATATGGGAGATTTGATGGCCCGAGTGCCAGTACTCTGCTGACTCAGCTGAGGACATGTCAGTGTTTCTTTTTGTCTTACTATGTTACTGAGTGGACACTATCATCAGTACATTTTGAGAAGATTTGGGTATTGCATTACTAAATGTAATAATATCCCATTTGGATTGAGTGGTTGCCAAAAAAAGTATTTGTAGGAAAAAACTCTTTTCAACAGGTGAAAAATCTCACTTGAGATTCAGAAAATAATTTATTAACATTGGTCATACATAAAGTTTATTAACATGGGTAAGACAAAAAAAAACCTCTTAACCTCCCCTTCAAGTGCTGGTTCAAGTAAACAGTTTTCAGATCCTGTCACTCCAGTACTCTGATGTTTCAGTGTGTGAGGGCACGTCATTGTTGGGGACCTCATGTGTTTCAGATGGAGGGGTTTGAGGGGGGCTGTTGACCCGTGAGTCACTGACAGGGTTGGGCTGGTTCAGCTCTCCTGCTGTGTGCTTCATCTCCAGCTTCTGGACAGGTAGAGATGCAGGTGGGGACGGGTTCTCAGCCTTGGGTTTGATGTTTTTAAAGTGTTGCAGAAGCACCACATCCTTACGTGCTTGTGTACATGGCAGCAGAGCAGAGATGTCTTTGCGGAATTTTGAGCTCATACCAAAGTAGATGAGTGGGTTGCAGAAGCTGGCAGACTTGGCAAAGAGACAAGTGATGATACTGGTTGTGCTTGGCACATGGAAGCCCCAGGCCGACCACATAGACACCACTGCATATGGCGACCAGGCCATAATGAAAGCTGAACAGATTACAATGGAGATCTAGAGAGGAACATGAGGGAACAATAGTGAGTGGCATTACATGAGAGGACTTTTATTATTGACAGGCCATTCTTAAGTAGAGCTGTAAAGATTCACATTTTACTTTATCGCTCAAGTCTTTCCAATAAAATCCTCAGAAATAAACAGTTTCTCCTAGTTGCCTACCCTTGTGACATCTCTCTCCACCTTCCTTTGATGGACAGTGAGGAAACCATCAGCTGACACGGCGTTGATGCTTTTCACTGTGTTGATAATGGAGGTGTAGGAGAAGAGCATGGTTATCACCGGGATAAAAAAGCAAAAGATAAGGATGGAGATAATGTAAGACTTGTATATGGTGGAGTAATTGGCTTTGGACCAGTCCACCTCACAGGTGCCATAACCTCGATCTACAGAAAGAGATCAGATTATGACTCATAGTATGTTACAGTTGCTTCTTACTGTTAGGTAAGCATGCAGGGACAGACCTGTGTAGCTGCCCCAGCCCAGCAGTGGAGCAACAGACCAAAACACTGCTCCGGTCCAAATGCAGATGAGTGACACAGCTATGGTGTTCATACTGATACAATATGCTGCAAAAACACACAAGCAACGTGAATACAAGGAAGCATAACATATCTGTGAAATGGCTGTGCAATTGTGTCCTGTGTAAAAAAAGTTCAATATTATGACTTTGGAAAACATGGGACAGAAGAAGTGAGAGGCACTTAATGATCCAACATTCCTGACTTGTTTTGAATGTCAAGATTGTGACATTTATTGAACAATGAAGTCTTACATTAACAGCCTTTGCAAACATCTATGACTGAAAAGGACCTCTGTTGACAAAGTTCACATAGCTTTGTATTCAGGAGAAGAAAAAATTTCAGTCCACTCTATTTCTAAGCAGTACTCTTATGTCAGTATACAGTAGGTACAGTATCGTTTCCAAAACATAATTGCCAACCCATTGCTCTGGGTTACCTTCTGAATTGCCTTATATTGCTGCTTATCTTAACTGATCATATTGCACATACAGTATCTAGAGCAGTAGCAGTAACACTTTGCAATAAATGCAACACAAACTGATTTATATTATATTAGCTTGTGTTTTATGAAAAACTGCAAAGAAAGTTAAAAAGCAGAGGCTCAACCTAATTTCCTTATAATTAAAACATTTTTAAGCATTAGTTACCCCCCAAAATAGAAAATGTCATGTCAGGTTCACTTAATGACACGTTGGAGAAATGTAAATGAAATCACTGAAGCCAAGTTTCTACAGGTTTCACTAGCACTGAAAAACACACTTTAAGCATCAGATAAGAACTGCTGGAATGCAGATCATGTGGTCATAAGCGTTCTTTATATTCTGTCACATAAATTTAGGGAGGTTAGGTCTGACCTTTATTTGGATGGCATCCCTTGATGTATCTGGTGACACTGATAACTGTCAAGGTGTTAATGCTTGCAAGACCAAAGAGTAATGTGAAGAACCCGTCTACCTTGAAGGAGACGATGAGCGGGCATTGGTGAATCATGACATCACATCTTTAACATGTCTTTAAAGGGCCTTAAAGGGCCCGTGACATGTTTTTTCTTTTTTTTTTTTTTTTTTTTTTTACTTATCTACAATGTTAGAACAGTGAATTATCATCCTAGACGTGACCTAAAGCTCAAAAAATGAGGTGTACATATGTTTCTAATATTTCTATGCAGAAGTAAATTGGTTCATACACATCTCGTAAACTCTCGCTCACAAGACTTTTTTCCCCTCCAAAATAAAGTATTACGTGATAGTTTAGGAATTTCCTTGAATGAGCATAAAATCCAGGCCCTTGCACGTTCATGTGAGCTTGCCTGACATCCACCGGTGCCCCCACCATATTGGCAAAATGTTACATTGCCTTGTTTGTTATGTATGTTTTCAGTGAAGCTTATTAAAAAAAAGACATCCACAGTGTAAAAGTGGAGTATTTTGACTGCGCTTAGTTTTGTGGATATATTCTACATCCTGCTGCTGCACTGCGGTCAGAGGATTTGGAGAAAAATCCAGGGCCTGAGGTTACTGCATGTTCGGGAATGCTCCTGTACAAGGACTCGCTGCTTTACCTGACTGGGTTTAACCTACAAGCAGCCAGGCAGTGGAGCCCCAGCTGTGGTTAGCGATCAGCTCATCAACACTGGATTTCCCCGGAGCACAGTGCATGTTTGTTTTGACTGCTTGAGGCCAGTGTGTCTGCCACATGTGATGTGTTGCTGGTTAACCAGAGGAAGAGGCTTTTTGGCTCTCTGATTCTGAAACAACAACAAACTATTTGGAGTTATGAGGGGTGCCAAGTTAATCTAGAGATACCCAAGATTAAACATTAAATGGCTGGAAACAAGCAAAATGAGCACACCATGGGCACTGTAAGGTTGTCACTGGAGCCCCAGGGTGTGTATTCACTGCCCACCTGGTTGTTCCAGGCCCTTATCTGTCGAGCTTGTGTTGCTTTGGGCTTTATCAGATAGAGACAGTTGAACAGCTCATCCTTATTTGATGTGTGCCACAGGTTTTTATAAAAGCTGGCTGACTGCATAACACATTAAACCAAAAGCTTTGTAGCATTCAGGGAAGACATTATTTTAATCACAGCTCTTCTGGCTCCAACGGTGCAACACCCAGCTTCCTGCTGTGCCATTTCCAGGTGACATGGATCAGTTAAGGTCTCTCAGTATCTTTATCTTCCTGAGTCCTAATCCTATTACTGTCAGTCATCACATTTCCCCCCCTCACATTTGGCAGATTACTGTAATGTAAAGCTGTTCAACTGTCTATCTGATAAAGCCCAAAGCAATACAAACTCAACAGATCTAGGCCAGTTTGATTTGAATTAAGAACTGCTCCATTATATATGTTCTGTTTTGATATGACTTTAGGACCAAGTGCATTAAGACATTTCATGCTGTGAACTTTGGATCAAAAACAAATATCAGAGAAGTACTGGCATGAAATCAGATTATTTTTCTACACTAATTTGACAGTCCCTGACAGTCTCTGTATTCCCCTTTGCAACATCAAAGGGTCCAGTAGGACTCTATCATGTTCTGTTATGCCGTGTCCCATAGAGTGCAAAACCAGGGATCTGGCTCAACTTGCAACTGTTCATGTCCCATCATGCACCATGCAGTGATCTGCTAATGTTTCTCATGTGCCTGTCTCCTTCACCTTCCTGTTCCTTTCCCCCTCTGTTTCTGTCAGTTTGAGCATTTGCTTTGTTTTCTTCTGATGCTTTATCTCTGCCATGGGAGGGTAAAATGACAGGGGTGTCCAACAACCCCAATATTTGTGCTTCACATAAAAATCTCAGACTGAACATCTGGGAGAGGAGATCACTTCAGTGACTGCACTGAAGCCTGAGAGTAGTAAATCTCAATTTACAGCATCTCTCCAAGTCAAATTTTGGGGGTGTTTGCTTCTGAGACTGAGAGTTTTTGGGCTACACCAGCTTGTTTTTGTACAATTCCTATGAGAGTTCATTCACTGCAGCACAGATAGCACAGCACCTACAACAGCTAGCCTTGAGCAAGAAAAATACCCTGAATGCATTCCAAGCTAAAGAATTAAAATTAATTCATATCAAGCTGAGTCTTTGGTAGGACGGTTTCCCCATTTCCCATTTTATACAATTACTGGATGCAATTTAACAACTTAAGAGCATGCAATAAAATTATACAACAAATGTTTTCCCTGCAGCTTGTTTGTTTTCTGTTTGGTTGTTGACAGGTGCCATACTGTTCAAACAGTTCACCCCATTTAAAGGCCTCCACAGTGGTAATCTGATTACAGATTTAACCTTCAGCCCACATAGCTACTAACATACTGTAATTCCTTGCACATACACACACTCTCATGTGCATACTCACTTTATTGTAAGACCTCTACAGACTCTTTTAATTACTTCATTAATTGGGATTGCGAAAGAGAGCAGGTGCATATGCACATGATTTGTTTTGTTTTATTTTGTTTTTCCAACTCTGCGTCATCACTTTCAGGCTATTTCAGTCAAATAATCCTGGGATTTGATGAACTGTAATGCAATGAACAGCATCACAAGTTAGGCTTTGGTGGGAGATTGTATGAGATAATAAATATTAAATATTAACTCTTTTAAATATCATTTTTTAAATCAAGAGTTTTCTGGCAGTTGTTTTTACCTGGCAGGTCCAGATCCAGGTGATTAAATACCCATCATCCTTGAAGATATTGAATATTTCTAGGATTCCTCTGGAGTAGCCAAACACTGAGATGCTGGCATCAGAAATGACAAGACTTAGAGTGAGGAAATCTGTTGGCTGAAGTGAGGCCCACTGTCTATGGAGCACAAACATGACCAAACTGCTTCCAAGCCAGGACATCCATCCTACAAAGAGATAAACATACAGTGTATTACATATTTAATAGTAGCAGTATAGTGGCTAGTATACCCAAGTCAGTCCTGAAGAGCAGCAGAGGAGGGTGCAGTACAATATAAATAGAACAGAGTAGTGTAATATATAATGCTGCAGTGGAGTGGAGTAAAGTAAACTACTAAGTAAAACCTAATAATACTTATACAACAGGCACAAAACCCCTTGACTGCGATAGTAGACATGGGCCCACAGACAGTGCCACCAACACAAACCAAACTGTCAGAGTCAGCGGAGGCCTGGCCTTTGGAAACATGAGAAACAACAATAGTTGTTGTTGACTCTTACATAATGTTTGGCTCCTTCTTGATAGTGTTTTGTTGTAGGATAATGAAAGACAAAACCATTTCTGAAGGCCTATATTTTTTGCTGTATAGTTATAAAACCAGAACCAGTTGTAAACTAGTAAAGCATTTTTGCATATATGCAATTTCACAGGCATAAATCTGTGGCACCTTTCAGTAGTATACATCAAAATGAAAAATGCTTTTGACATGGGCATTCTCAGTGTATGGCAGTTGACTTACCCAGCACTAACAGATAGACTCCAATGCTGGCTTCTCCTTGTTCAGATAGAGGAGTGTCTATACGCAGAGTACTGAGATTGTTATTCCTCCATGGAATATTCACTACTTTCAGAGGCGAGCTCTTCAGTGTTATTTCCATGGCCTGTGTTTCGATGCCAAGGCATGAATCCCTACTGTCATCTACAGCAGCTCTGCTCCCTTCTGCTTCCAGTACACACTGTTGTGCTACACCAGTAGGGATGACCGTTCAGTTCATTTAAAAACCAGCTTAGTCACTAATACCACAATATTCACTGTCTAAATGATTGCAGCTGTAATCCTATGTCTTAATTAAGCAGATAGAGCTTTTGGGTGGAAATCCTAGCTAAGACGGGAGTATGTAGTCAGCTACTCCACTAATGGAAGTGTTTTTCATGTAGCCTGAATCAATGAAAGTCAAGGTAAGCGCTTCAGCAGAGTACAAGTGTAGACAAACAGTGTTCTTAAGCTAATTACCACACAAACAATGATACTTTATTGAACACACCCATTAAACATTCAAAGTGCTGAGGGAAGATATTAGTGAACTTTTGGATTTAATAACTGCACAAAGCTTCTTTGGCAGCAGTAACCTCAAACCAGAGCTTCCTGTAGCTGTGGATTGGACCTGCACAACTTTCAGGAGGAATTTTGGACCGTTCTTCCTCATAGAACTGCTTCTATGAGGAATCCAGGATTCCTCAATAAACCTTAGAATTCATTTCCCCTCCACAGTGGCAGCTGTCCAGGCCCAGAGGCAGCAAAGCAGGCCCATATCACTTCACCACTGGGATGATGTTTTCATTTCATGGAGAGCTGATGTAGCAGTGAGGAGAAAGAACTGAAGGAGAACAAAGAAATGAAGACAAAGAAGGGGAAGAAAAAGAGGAACAGGAGGGCAGCAGAACATCCTTCCTCCTGAAAACCCCTTTCCTACCTTACCTACTCCTCACTGCCTCTAATCCTTCCTACCCTCACTCTTACCTACTCAAATCCCAACCCATTCCTTCTTGTTCATGTATTACAAATAAACATGTACATTGTTGAACTCAGTTCTGCTGAAGTAAAACTGCATCAACCTGTGTCTACATTTCAGAAAATACAATACACATCATTTTGTCAGGTTTGCTCGGCTGCACCTTCCTCTCTTGCTTTTCTCACTCTGGTTTTGCTTCTTTACCCTGATTACACAATCTGGCATACCCGCCCCACTTACACTGATTCTCACCAGCTGCACTTTATAAGTTTCCTCCCTATTTATACCCTGCTCACCATTCACTCCCTTGCCAGTTCAATCCCTATTCTCAGGCCCCTTTGCTCGTTGTTTTCTCCAGTCTACCAGTTACTGTTTCTCTTAGTCTTTACGTTATACTCATAGCTCCTGCTTACCCTAGGTCTCTTCTTCTCCAAGCAAATTCATTTTCGTCCATTCTCCTGCTGTTCTTTCTTCGGCTATGGACCTCTCCTCTGGACCCTGGAACTACTCAGCCCTGCCAGTCTCCACCATACAGGTTGATGCACAGTCTCCATTAACTGTCCATGCATGCTCCTGTCTCCTCAGACATCATCGCTTCACCCACGACCAGTTCAGGAGTGACCCCAGTGTCCGCAGCCTGGTCTGTAACCATCCATCTCACCATTGACCGTTTTCCACTGCTGCAGATCGACACCCGGTTAACTCTTCATCACTCCACACCTATCTGTTTACGTAACTGTGGCTTGCACTGTAAATAAATCTGACACTACTTGCACCGAAGCTAGCTACCTGGGTCCATCTCAGTGACAGGCAAGACAATCTCCCCACTCTGATTCTTTTGCAGGACGTAAACTTTACTCATGACTGGACCTTCGCACCTGAAGTTTTTTGTGGAGGTCCATGCACTTTTCCTAACGTAACTACAGCCATAGTGAAAATAAACTACACCCTTCTTCAGTTCTGTTTTTATTTATCAGGCCTGAAAAACATTTGTGTGGAAACAATTATTCAGAAGTTTCATTCAGTATACTCAGACCTTCATTCCATATTTTCAAGTTTCATTCAATCTCTTCTGTTTTCTCAAACATAACTGCCTAAACAGCATGCCATACAGGCCAACATGGAGAAACATCTTCTCACTGTATAGTGTTTGATTAAAGCAGTGTGTAACAATGCTAGTGAACAAGCTGTACTGTATTGGTCTGGCAATAATTTATATCATCCTGGTTAAAAGAAAGCACATTCATCTAAATGCACAATGAGGCCAGAAGTAGCATGTAAAGCATAATTAAGTTTGAGTTGTGTTTGATGCATTTGATAACAAAGTCACTGTGCTCCGACATCAGTGGGACAGCATTTGGCACTTCTGTGGAACCCTCCCATATTTTCTATAGTACAGTCAGAAACAGAAAAAGCAAACTAAGCCATAGAAGTGTTATGGGAATTATGGGAACGCATGCTGGTGCAGTTTTATTGATTAAAATCCTGTCGCCGTATATAAACCTATCTCCCCTCCTCCACCTCTCTCCTCTTCACAGTGAGCTTCTTTGTGAAAACACACGTACCAAAGGGGTAACCTGACTGACACTCTTCAGTCTGTGTTTAGATCACAGTGTACACCTTGTTTCCCTCCTCTGGTCACCACAGAGCAGAGCTGCTCTCAGGATGTGGAGGGAAGGAGGGATGCTGCTTCTAGATGCCTCAGTGCTTCCTCATCTTCCTCATCACACCGCTTCTTTGAGTCTCTCAAAGCCCAAGTGGAGAGAGAGAGAGACACAGAGCTGAAGGGAGAGTGAACCTCTAACTGTCACCCATCCAGCAGCAAACACAGAACCCAGTCATCTTATACCCATACCTTTACCCAGAGACACCGCACGGTGCAGCTTGAACTCTGCAGTGATCTTTGTGTGTTCAGCCCACAGTGACACAGAGGCTTCCTGCTGTCTCTGTGGCATGAGTCCTTCTGGTTACAGCGATAATGGCTGCGGGAGGCATCATACAAAATCCTCACAGTACAATCAAGCCATTCATAGCCAACAGTGCCAAATATTAACATGCTGTCTTTACTACATGACAGGTCTTACTGTGTCTTATGGTAACATTGTTATTGTAATTTTCATGAATGATCTTTTCACCTACCATAGTTAGGAATGGCATCCTCTTACAGTGAAAGTGAAGAGATTAGACTGTCTGCCAGCAAGCCAGCAGTGCTTGTCATGCCATCACTGTGCAGGACAGCTGCTACTGGGATTGCACTGCTAATAAGCTCAAAGGCCAAAGAAGAGCCTGCATTCAGCAGTTTCTAAGGACAAGAAAAGATCCATGACGGTCAACAGCAGACATAAGACAAGCATGTGAAGGCTGGGTATGGTAATCAGCCTGTAATCACCCAGGCATTTATGCTCTCTTTTGGCAAAGTTACATACATATATATATATTTTTACACATGTTTTGCTAAGCTAAGCTCAAAGTAATGGCATGTACTGTTCACTGTTCAAGTGTTAGCACATTATAGCAAAACATCAAGGTTAAGTTAAATCGTCTCCTGTAGGCTTTGGCATGTTTGTGTGTGTGTGCGCGTGTGTGAAGCCTGGTGATCACAGTGTAGCAACAGTAGGCCACTGAATCATTAGGCTTATCATGATTACTCTCTCTTTCTCTGTCTCTCGGTCAAGTGAAGCCTTGGATGTGAGGTTAAAAGCTCACAATTTTCCAAATGGAAAGTCACAGACACAGAAGCTGTTATGAAGGTGTGTGTTAAAGGCTATGAGCTGTCTAAGGGCAACAAAGCCTCACTTCACAGAGGACATATACCAAGTCAGACCAACACAGGTTTACAAAAGGTCTACACACTTTCTCTCTCTCCCTGTCACTGAACGACAGACACAGGGAATGCTTGTATGAAGGCTTCACATGGTATGGAGATGTAAATGGCTTGCTTGTCATTTTTTTAGTCAATCTGTGCATGATTTTATTTATATGTGTTTCATTGCAATGCATTTTTCTGTATCTCCTTTTAGTTCACAGCTATTTAAAAAAACAAATCTGGGTCAACGTAGTCTACAGGTTTCTAGAGGAAATCTGATACAAATCTCTAATAAAGGATGTTTGTCAGAAATTATAGAAAGATATAGAAGTGACTATCATTTTTCAGAAACAGCGCAGCTAACTTAAAAGGAGCACCCAAAGGAAGCAGGCACATGTCCAATAAAACTTTATTAACCACCTTTACCTAACCACAACATGTTCACACCTCCCCAAAGGGATTGTTTTTGGGTAATATCAGTTTAAAGAAGTGAGGAATTAATTGTTATTCACCAGAGTACAACAGGAAAGGTCCTGTAAATTGATGGGTTCGCTGATATCATTGAGATGAGGTTAGACCAGGACAGGACTCCTTAGATTCAATTTCATAGATCTGAAATTTGTGAAATACTCCTCACATGGCAAAGGTATTAGAAATCCCTCAGTGAAGCTCACAATTCATGCACTGATTTTAGCACAGGTACAAAGACTAGGCTGTTTTTCCATTTCCCTCTTGCACCAAAACAGTTCTCTGCTCTGACAAGGCAGGCTTGCAGCCATTGAGCTCACAGAGCTTTAGTTTTGACGTCCAGTTGAGCTTTATGAAATGGCACCCAGGAAAAGAGCACTTTATATCATCGGTCTTATCTGCATGTATTATATTCAGGAGTAAAGGGCTGCACTCCTGGATAATACCTCATAATAAACCCTATAGGGAAATAGATGAATTGTTTAGTACAGACAGACAGACAGACAGACAGACAGACAGACAGATAGATAGATAGATAGATAGATAGATAGATAGATATATAGATACAGCAGATAGATCTCGAAGGAAATTCAGGTATGCATTTAAAAGCAAATGAACACAGGCTCTGTGTCAGTTGGCATGGATTGGTTTTGTGGTTCAAGATCTTTGGCTCTGAACCACATGCAAACATTTATGTGGGCACTGGGAGCAATTTGCAGTTTCTCCTCTAAGGTCTGTTTGTTTAAGCAGGTAGCTTGTGTAAGTACATCTCATTTAGAGTTGAATGTATTCCTTTTCTGAAGGGATCTTCACACCAGTTTTGACTCCAGGGAATATTTTGTCAGAATATGGATGTGGAAATATAAAATGC